AACTACATTTACAAACCATTTCTAACAATATGATAAGTGGTAGTAATTTATAGTAAAGCTCTGGAGTAGAATAGGCCATTATAACGGCAATGCTGACCTGTGGCACAAGGATTTACAAGCTTTATTTGAAAAAGAAAAAAAGAAAGTAATTTCCACAGTGAGTGAGTGTAGTCTGACACTTCTGACTTCTTAAAGGGTCTTGATTCTACTGACTGCAAGATAAAGAAAGGATTCCAGTTGTCAGTGATTCTGGGGTGTCAGTAGTCAGTCTAGTTTTAAGTGGTCGGCTGTGGGTCCCTCTCAGCTGTGCGGCGCCTTTTTCTGCCTTCACGGTCAGATGCTCCTTTCAGGTAACGCGTAACGTTAACCTGGACCGCCTCATCAGTGCATCCTGGGTTGCCGGGTCCTTCCGGATGGCTAATATAGAAAATACAGATCTGTCATTTAATTTGAATTGCATGAGGACAATAGGACATACACATCTACTTAAATCAAAAAAAAAATATCCAACTTACTTTGAACAATGGTCTTCAGGAACATGTCTCTGAAACATGCTTTATCCCCTACACCAAGCTGAAAATCCAAAAAAGTGTTACAAATTACATTTCTCTGAAGCTTCTCATAAATAAATAAAAATGTGAAAGGCTAAGGATTCAGACTGTAATATATGCAGTATACAATGTTAAATTGTACTTTATATCTAGGTCTACTACATGTACAGGTAGCCCCAGTGGGAATTAAACCGACAACCACAGGTGCTGTTTGCAAGTTGTACCTAATTGCTCAGTGCAAGCAAACGTCTTCAACATTGTTTGTTGAACTTGCTTCACCTGCTCTTGAAGTAAGATTTTACAATTCGTATTTTTATATGTAATATTGTAGTGTTTATTATAAATGATTTATCTGTGCACTTCATTATTCTTTTAAAATTCATGTAGCCTTATAATCTTTAATCAAATACGTTACCCTTCCCTCCCCCCTCGAAACGACTTCTCTTCTCTTCCGGTCATGTGCTATGGCGCGAGGGCGTGGCAACTCCCCTCAAACCGTGCTATGAGCAGAGATGGAGAACAGGAGCGCTAGAGTAAAACCCTGCCCTCCGTTCAATATACCGTTTCACTTTTAAATACGTCACAACACTGGAGAAAAGTCGTTTGTAACTTCCGGTTCATGCCGACTTCAAATAGAAGCAATAGTTTCCAAGACAAAAAAACTTCACAAATAACATCACTTACTTGTACTCAAACTCTTGGCTCTGTGAAGTGGAGTCTGGATTACTGGGGAGAAACCTGGTAGCGAGAAAGAGGAAACAGAAATTTGAAAATCTAACAAATGGTATAGTTTAGTGGCAGGATCACAAATCCAGCATAACAGCAATAGATTTTACATACCAGTTCAGCATTTTCCTGGTTTTCTGGAATCGATGCATCTTTCTAGAGTTTTTTTTCTTGAGACTTACAAGATTCTAGAGTAGGGAATAATGAATATAAGAGTCAGTTATCCACAATAAACAGAAAATAAATTACACAGATGAAATACAGGAAAATCAAATACACAAGTCAGACCCATTTACCTGCTCCCTTCATGAACTTAAAATGATGTTTCTCCCAGGTGCTGTGTGGAGGTGTGCAGAGGATGGCTAAATTGTTGCCTTCGTCTTTTTGCTGAGGTTAAATGGGGGCCAATGGCACATGCTCTCGCTGAGCCACTCTTGCGGAACCACTGCAAATGGCAGATCCTCCTCGTTGATAAACTGAACAATGTGAACCATCTAAAATAGAAGAACATTTTGCATAAAGTATACTTTTTGATTAATTTCCAGGCAAAATCAATAACATTAAAATGCTCACCCCTTCAAAAAACGAGTCATTTTCACAAGTGGATCAACAGAAAACCATGTTCAGAAAAACACAATCATATACATATACACACATATATACATACACACATATATATATATATATATATATATATATATACACACACACACATAGTTATTTTTGTAAGAAAACACCAAAAGTTAAACTTTCTAGATGTAAAGCTTTCTTTCTAGATGTAAAGCTTTGGCGATCTACTGTAGCTAGATACATTTCAACATGTCGAACATGCTTGAATTCAGTGAGTAAAAAAGGCGAAGCAGCATGTGTTAGCTAACACTGTAAGTTAAACTAGACTAGCAGCATGGTTGTCGAATCAAACAAAACATCATTATGTTTAGTTAGAAAACAACACAAGTTATACTGATCAGTCTTTCTTGTCGTAAAGATGTTGCTAACGTTACCATTCCCACGTGGGCGGGAGAATTGTCCTTCAGGATTTAGTTACGTAAGTTAGTTAATTATTCGACTGACCAATACTATCTTAAACCACATACTGTAGTAGGCCTACTCACACTTGCATAAACATACGTAAATATAGTTAAAAGAAGAAAAGAAAAAACTAACGCCAGGAAGAAACTAAGTAACGTTAGCCTAACTAACATTAGCTATGTCAGAAACATGACGCAAACTTTGTAAACAGGCTAACTTACTAGCTTGACTAGTAAGGCAAGAACATATTTGAAAAAGATGAACTAAAAATGTAAAAAATGAACATAATATTGCGTTACACAAAAAGGAAAAATGTACTTACTTTAAAGATCGTAGTCAATGACTAGATAGGATATCGTCTCCAAATACTGAAATCGTGTGACGACGACGAGTGGCCACTGTTGTGTTGGTAAATCTGCTTCCGTTTTTTAGGTACTGCCCCTCTCGGCCGGTGGAGGTACTTCTCTGTTTGTGCTTTAATACTTTCTTAAACATTTGTACAGATTGCAAAACTCGCTATTGCAAATGAATCCCTTATACCTGTAAAAGGTAAAATAAATAAAAAAATCGAACTTGTAAAAAAATGAAAGACATAAACGAAATTTCCTGGGGTGACAGAGAGACAAAATATTTCTAAATATTTCACTTTATCTTTCAGGTCAAAACAGGGATTTTCATGTTTATTATAAATATTACCATGGTTGCAAATTAATAAAAAAAATCTAAAGCATACCCAAGCTTTTGGCCAAGTTGCAGATGTCTTTCACTGTTCACTGATTTCAGGCATTGGTTAAAAGTCTAACTTCATCCATTTATTCTGCTAAATTGTTCATACCATGAATGAAATATTTATTTTAAAACCTAATCAGAATCAGAAAGATATTTATTGCCAAGTAAGTTTTACAAAAGGAATTCTTTTTGGACTATTTGTGCATCTCACTTGTGCATAAATCAAAGAAATGAATTGTCACCTTAAATAAAATAATTCTATATATTTTACATAGGCCTATCACTGAATCGCTTCAGAGTTTCAACGTAATTTAAATGTATTTTCCTAAACCTTATCATGGAATCAGACTGAGTCAAATCTGTTATAAACCCTATAATGACTTTGGTACCTAAAAATTTGATATAATTCACATAATAATTATAATCGCTTTAAATGTGAAAGGTAAAATGCTGTCAGTTCCACTCATGCCAATGACATGGCTGGTCGATTTCAAAGCGGCTTGCCGCCAGCCGGCCGCGGTTCATTTAGACGGCGGCAACCGCCAGAGAGAATGAAGTCGGCGGCCCGGCGGCTGTTCGCCGGCGGCATCTCGCAAGAAATGGGAGTGACGTATTCGGCGGCAAACGTTTCTTCTCCGCCAGCGGGCCGCACCTATAGCCGACAGTTTGGGGCCGGCGGCAAAAAGAAGCCGTGCCGATATTTTTTGCTATCTGGGGCTTGTCTCAATAAGGCGGCATTTATTTTATAGGCTAAATATAATCATTAAGGCCTATTATTGCATACTGTTTTATAATGTATTAAAATACTGAGTTGGATATTACTCTTATTGCAAAGAAAATACTGCTGGAGTAGGCTATCGTTTTTTTGCACATTATCTTAAGTTAAAATATAGGAATTTACACAAGTTGATATTTGCATATAAGTCATAGATTTTACCTTTCAGATGCATCTCTGTTACTGTTCTCTTGATTGTCATCGGTTAGGCATTATATCAAATCTATTTACAATATGTAAAAGTCTATCCAGGGGAGTAGTATGTGTTGATCCAGGGGGCTTAATTCTTACTCCAGTAGGAGGCCATCTTTCTTTTAATATGTGACAGTTTGTGTTATAAAAATGACTGACAACACATTAGCGAATGTTTATTTATTTCCTATTACACGTTGGCCGATGCAACGTCATGCAAATGCTAAACTTGTATCTAGGCCTATGCTACCATTTAAAAGTAAAATCCCATTGTTCTTTGGGGGGAGAGATCTTTCCCCATCCTACTTACCCCTAACACGTGTTGTGTATTTCTAATAGGAAAACTTTTAATTAGGCTAGTCTGTTATGCCAATATACACAGCATATTTGGGACGTTGTCTTCATACTGATCACGTGCTGAAAGCAAGAATAAACTTGCTTGGTAGGTTTTTGTTGATCTTACCTGGAAAGTCAGGTCTGTTTGCTGATTTTAGATGGGTGTTCGGCGCTTTTCGGCTGGCTGGCCTGGAGATCTGGGAAACCAGCTTACAGAAGTAAGCTATCTCAAGCTACTTATAATAAACAATATTATAATAAACAATGTTTGTTAGTTTACTGAGGTGGGCGGATAGTTGAGCATTACGTTGAGCATTACGTGAATAGGAAAGGAAGATTTAGGCCTACTGAAAGTGAAACCGATTTGCAAGACTGGAAATTTCATAGAGGCTACTCTGTAAGTAGGCTATATCATATTTATATAAACACATTTAAAAGTGTTACCATTCTTTTATGACCCTCATATTTTCGCTGCATTTACATGTTTTTAATGTGAAAACCACTAAGTTTCGATTTCTGCAAATAAAAAATGGATGATCTCATATTTGCTTGCCTTTCTTATACTCACAGGTCTCAATACAAGTTTGTCTGCTCTTAAAGGACACCACAATGAGTCTAAACGAACCGCTTGATTTTAAAAGGTGCACAAAATTCTGTATTTTTGAGTTTTTATCACTGTGTTTTGAAACGAAGAATCTTGACGTGTTTAGCTCATATTTATCATGGGTAAAGAATTGATTACAAATCATGCTGTGTTGATTTCAAGCCAACCCAAAAGAAAAAGATCAGAGACTGAACGAACTGCCAAAAAACATGCCAAAAATAAAAGGTAAAAAACTTAAGGTAAACCTTTCTATTTAGCCTATGTGTAAAGAAAGCTATAAGCCATATTTGCTGATATAGAGGAGGCTATTGAAATAACATTTATTACAGTTTAGTAAAATGTATAAATATGAACGTTTTTATCACACAGTTCTGTTTGACATTCTCACCCTTTAGACAAAAGTCAAAGAGAGCAGCTTCTCCTACATCCAGTTATCTGTCAATGAGGACAGACTGTTCAATGGATCCACCAACCAACTTTAAAGGTGGAGAGACATTTCCTTTGCATTCAAGGTGATTTTTACTTGAATACAAAAATGAAAGCAAATTTGACTCCATTATGTTTCCAATAATATACCAAATATTAAAATAACAAGAATCTAAAACAATAATTTAAAAAATAATTACATTCTTTCTCACGACTTTGTATTATAAGACAAAGCACCAATTTCTAATCGAACACATACAATGCCATGCGCCAACACTATTCTTAAAATGACAGGATTAAGAGAAAACGAGAGACTTCACCAGTCACTGGTTATATTTCACTGAAAAGTGACAACCCAATGAACGTTTCAAAAGGCATTGCATCTGACTTAAAGTAAGGACATTTGTCATATTTGTAATAATATGTAATAAAATGTAATTAAAATAAATAAGTAGCCTAAATGACACAGTTTTCTTACAGAGTAAGAGCAGCTTCTCCTACATCTGCCTGTTTGCCTTTGAAGACAGACTGGTCAATAGATCCACCAACCAACTTCAAAGCTGCAGAAACTTTCCCATTGGATCCAAGGTGAAGTTATTCGTTATTTGTTCAAATAAATAACATTTAAAAACTCAGCATTAAAAAGTTAGTTCACATCATTTACTCACCCTCATGCCATCCCCTATGTATATGACTTTCTTTCTTCTAATAAACAAAGATTTTAAGTAAAATAATTCATCTCTGTGAGTCGATGCAAGTGAATGTGTGCCGCTCGGTTGACGCTTGCAAAACCACACACACGCCAATCGTGACGGTGATCCTTATGAACTCAGTGGATGGATCAATGTCTTCTAAAGATAAATGATAGGTGTGTTTAAGAAAAAATACTAATATTTTTAAATCTTTCCCCACCATTGACAAGATTTTCCATAATTTATGACACGGCGCTTCCCCGCAATTGACACATTCTCTCTGAAGAAGAAGATCTGCGTAAACCAGAAGGAGCAGATGGAAGTTGTTTACGAACATAAGATAACGTGGTCATTAAAGAATCAAAACTGCCTAACGTTATCGAATTAACTTCTCTCCTGAGCTTCACAACACACTTACTTCAGGTGTCACAATGTTCCTCTCATGAAGGCTCACATGACAGTAGAATGGAAGCAATGATTTATAGTTATAAAGTTAAAAATGTTTGTATTTTTCTTACCCAGACCTAACATTTCACTTCAGAAGACATAGATTCAATCACTGGGGTTATATGGATCGGTCACCGTGATTTTGTCAAGTGAGTCATGGTCCTGGATCAACATTCCTGTCCCAAAATGTAGTCCTTACTCAATCCCTACCCCTAACACTACCCATAACTTTTCCCTAAAATCAGAGGGTAATGAAAGGTGAATGACACTGATGCGTAAGTACTTCACCCTGGTTCTAATAAACTGTAAACTTGTCCCTCAAATCTGATTGGTTGATTGGAAAGCTGATCCAGGATCAACATCGATGTTGATCCAGGAACATGTGGTACTTGGTGAAATCACGTTCACCGTGGTTTTATATAGCGTCGTCAACCAAGTGGCACACATTCAATGGCATTATATGAACTATATTTTGGAAACAGTTTCGTTTGTGTTTATCTGAAGAAAGAAAGTCATATACATCAGGGATGGCATAGTGTGAGTAAATGATGAGAGAAATAAAAATATTCGGTGAACTATGCCTTTAAGCAATGCGACAGCAGTGTACAGAGTTTCATTTAGAGAATTACTTTAATTTTGTGACTTCCAGACTTCTGACAGAGCAAGACTTAAGGTGTCGAGTTTGCAAATCGATGTTGAAGGACCCAGTGTCCATCCCCTGTGGACACAATTACTGCAACGCTTGTATTAATGCATTCTGGGACAATTGTGCAGGAGAATATGTTTGTCCACACTGTGGTAAAGCATCAGAAACACGGCCAGTGCTGAACATAAATGCAGATCTGGCTGAGGTGGTTAAATACAAGCAGCAGACAGGCTTCAGTCCAGCCCTTCCACCACAACCCTATGCCGGACCAGAGGACGTGGCCTGTGATTTCTGCTCTGAGACCAAATTGAAATCTGTGAAGTCTTGTTTGACTTGTAACGCGTTCCTCTGTGAGACTCACGTCAGGCAACATTACACAATACCAGCACTACAGAAACACACATTGTCTGACGTGACTGGAGACATTAAGACGAGACCCTCAGAGCAATGTCAGAACTCGGACAACAGCTTCAGTAGCACTGCCGGCGGACAACAGCATCATGCAGATATAAAGGTTTGGTATCCAAATGAAATTATGCGATAACTAAAACAAAGCAGTAAATTTGACTATTTTTAAATCAATAATGCATACTTTATTAAAGTTGTCATGAAATGGAATTTGCGATCTTTATAGTGATATAGTGTATAGTGAAATCAAGACTGCATTTACATTAGGTTCAACCCAATTCCGATTTTGTTTCCTCCCATGTGGCACAGATCAGAAATGACCCACGAACGTGTAAGCAGGAAAAAAGCACATGGATTCCGATATTCTCAGATCAGTTTCAGGCCTCGTTTATGTGGAAACAAATCTGATATGAATCAGATACGTGCATTTGCATCTACCATGTAAAGCGGACAGATCGGATATTCCACTGTCAATGCGAGTCGTACATCATTGAAAAAAAAATTCTTTCTGAAAATTTTTTTTTTTTCATGCTTGTTGACCTTCTTCGTGTGTGCCAGTTAGCCTAATTAAGTTCACCTGTTATTCATTCCATTGATTGGTTTTGGTCCGTCTATTTAAGCTCCATGTTTTCTTCAATTCTTCGGCAGTTTTTGCTGTGTTATGTTTGGTGTTTTCTAGTGCCCTGAGTTCTTCTAATAAAAGTTAAACTGCTGGGTTTAGATGGCACAAAATTACTGTTGTTTTCCGGTAGCCTATATTTCCGTTCAGTCAAATTTTGCGCCGCAAACATCCATGACTCCTTTTAACTTGTCTATGCTTTCAATAAAGAGTAAAGAGATCAACAGAATCATTTTGGGCGGGATTAATGTAAACACAGGTATCTGATACCAGTGGTGTCCAAAGTGAATGTAAGGCGGGACACATATTTAGAAAAGGTCAAAAGATCTGTGCACTAACTAAACATCCAGATCTCCCTCTCTGAACTTAATGGGTGGAGCTTGACCTCGTCCAGCTCCATCTCTGTGGACCTAATGTGGAGCTTAGTTTTGGTCATGGATAGGTTTATGGGTAGGATGTGTTGCTTGACGTCAAACTCTACCCATTGGCTTTGCAGTGAAATGTCTTCACGAACAAGAAAAAATGCAGGGCGGGACTCGATTTTGTCCATTGGGAATCGATTGGATTGTTGGATGGTTGTGATTTGCTATTGCTGTGATGTCATGTGAGTGACAGGTTGTCCCGCCCTCACGCCAGTAAATGCATCATCAGAGAAGAGAATAGATGTAGCTGAAAGAGGGAGGGGAAGTTATTTTGATTAAAAATTACGAGAGCACATGAAATTAAACAATAATGTGCACGCATAAATACTGCAATATTCCATAAAAAATAAGAATGGTCAAATTTGATTTCATTGTCACTTTAATTTGCTTGATGTATTTTCTTTCTGTAGGAGATGGCAGTCGCTGCCAAGCTTCAGACACGTCTAAAAAGATCTGCAAAAACCTTCAGACCTAAAACAAAAGAAAAAAAAGATCATGTTAGAAAAATTGCGCTTATGTGCTCCACACTACAGCAAGAGGTTTCAGGGCTCAAAGAAAAACTCTCAAAGTTAGACAAGAAGAATACAAAGACAGAAAAATATGAGGATGAAGAGGAATATGATGATGAGGAGGATGACTTTGGAGAGGAAGAAGATGATGATGATGATGATGATGATGATGATAATGATTATGAGGATTATGGAGATTATGGTGATGATGGTGATGACAATGAGGACTATAGTGAGAAAGATTATGATGCAGAGAATGATGAAGAAGAGGAGGATGATGAAGATGGTTTAGATAGTTTTGATGATGAGGACGGAAACAAAGATGATTGGGAGGAAGATGATTGGGAAGACTATGAAGACAAGGAAGACTATGATGATGAGGACAGTTCGGAGAAAGATAGCGATGAGGATTATTATGATACGGACTATTAATCATCTCTGCTTACAATGACTATTGTTTTTCTTAATATGCATATCTTTTTGCAAAGACATTTCAAAGCATTTCAGTGGGAAATAATTACAGTTAAAACAGCCAATACTTGGTTTCAGTATATACTGTACATTCTAGTAGTGTTAGGGAAAGTTACTTTTAAAAGTAGACTGTGTTACTCCCTATGAAAGTAATTAATTGCTTTAGTTACTTTTTAAGAAAAAAATAATGAGTTAGTAGTACGTTACTTTTTAATTACTTTTTGTCTCTGGAGGCTTGCTTGTTTGTTTGTTTGTTTGATTTTATAACAAAAAAAAGTTATATTTTTGGTAAATGTAAAGGCCCTTTCACACTAAAAGTGAAATGAATGAGGCTCAGGCTGAAGGAAATGCAAATTCATCCGAGGGCGCAGCACAAACAAACCTTTCAGCTGTGCTGCCATTCTTACTTTCAATTTCTCTCAACATAGGAACAGGAGAGGTGTCAATAAATGGTAAAACAAAATACCTTGTTGTACTTATTTGAAAAAGTAACTGATATTTTGTTGTAAATTTAAAAGTAAGACGTTACTTTACACATTACTTGAAAAAAGTAATCTGATTACGTATCTCACGTTACTTGTAATGCATTACGCCCAACACTGATTGTTAATAATATTTCAAGATGAACTTATACTGGACTGAAGTTTAATTGATTATCCATTGCATCATATATATATATATTTTTTTTTATTTAAATGTTTGTTAAAATGTTAGCATCAAATACAATGCACCAGGCTTTTGAGGAACATTTGTACATCTCTCAGTTATCATTGTATTGCAGTGCATTACATGTTTTGCCCCCACAATAAAAACTATAAAGAACATTTAAAATATCATACATAAATCATATTATTGGAAGATATGTGACAACTGATATTTATATGCATTTATATGCTATGTAGTCTGCAATACTGTTGTAAAGATCTCATTGATTTTCATTACAAGCTTTCAGACTTTTTTTAGCCAACTGCACCAAAATTGCATATTTATTCTCATTTTCGGCCTCTAAAATTACGAGCTCTGTTTTCATCTATATCATATGAGCCATAAAAGCCTGGAGCATCAAATATGATATTCAACAAAAAACATTCTTCTCAAGTTCAAACGTGCTGCATAACACATGATAATGAACCTTATTGGTTCTTGCAGAAGCTCAAACGTGCTGCGTAACATGAGAATGAACCTCATTGGTTCTTGCTGAAGCTCATAGTGCTGCGTAACACGAGAATGAACCTCATTGGTTCTTGCTGAAGCTCATAGTGCTGCGTAACACGAGAATGAACCTCATTGGTTCTTGCTGAAGCTCATAGTGCTGCGTAACACGAGAATGAACCTCATTGGTTCTCACACGTCAAGCGAACATGCGTAAGCTTCCATTTACCACATCTGTGTGAGCTGATCAATGTTTATACGAATAAAAGCCTAAATTCAATCTGTTCATCATATAAAGCGATTGTGCCTCTTCAGAAAATTTGGAATAAACTGCTCAATTCATATGGATTTCATATAAGTTTTTTGAAGCGATCAAAAAGATCTTAATTTATATTCCGAAGATGAACAAAAAAGTGTTGCGGGTTTGGAACAACATGAGGGTGAGTAATTAATGACAGAATATTTGGGTGAACTATTAGCTATAAAGAGGCCTACTATAAATGTTGATTGTGTATGTCTGTCTTGGTAAGGCAACTCCATTACAGCAGGGGGCAGTAAAGCACCTTATGCTTGATGCTGCAACCTGAGCGTTGGTTTTCGTTTTAACTACACGTGAAACGAAAGCTCGTGTGCTGTGGACTCTGAAACAAATCGTTCATGAACGACACATCCCTACTCTGAATGCGTGACGTTAAAGTGGAGAATTGCACGTTGTGTCAGTCACTTTTTAAGCATTTCTCCCGAAATGCTCCACCACTGTGTACTTTAATGTTCCTGCGTTTTTTGCGCGTCATGTCACCCAGTGTAAACTAATAACATGCTTGACGTCTCAACTGCGTAGTTTCATAGCTACAAACTGATGGTTTTATTCATTAAAACTGATGAACCTTGAGGATGTCTGAAAGCAGCAGCAGTGAGGATGAAAACTCTGCAAGACTGAAAGAAGCTGTCTGGAGCTTTGGACCACCGGATATCAAGGTCAATGGAAAAGGTAACGTCAGAGAATGTCTAATATGCGCTTTGGTAACGTGTTTTATTAATAGAGGTCTTTATTTTTTCGAGATGTATGCAGTGAATAAAATGAGATGAAATTACTTCTTACCAATCAAGCGTCAACATGTATATCTGAGGACTAACGCAGTGCTGCTTTTATCCCTCACAGATGGAGAAAACAAAAGTCGTAGGTGAGTCAGTATATGCATTTAAAACGCTTTGAGATTGGATCTCAGTGGTTATTTTGTCATGAGTTTGGATAACTTTGTTACACAGAGTCGATGTTTCAAAGCATGAACATGATGGGAATGAACTCGGGACAACACCTGAGTTTCAATCCCATGTGGCAAAAAAGTTAGGAGCCATATTAGACGGGTGAGACACTACTAAAAATATTATTTCTCACGTTGAACTTTTGAGTATATTTGTCATTATCTTTTATTTCTCTGCTGGTCAATCACTTTCTCTCCCTCACTCGTTTACAAACACACTTAACTGTAGGTGCATTTCAGAAGTGTTTTCTAAGACAGTGGACCCAGAACCTGCTCAGTCCAAAAACAGAGATGAAGAAGGTAAGCAAACTCATCAATTGCCAATAGAGATCTTATAGTTAAGATTTTCCTTGAGGTGCGTCAAGAAAAATAGTTACTACAGTATATGTACAATAACGCAAAGTTACAAAGTGACATATGTACAATAATATCAACATATCGACAAATCTGGATTTCAAATAGCTGACTGTTTCATGTCATTTTCTAAAGGTTTCCGTCTGTTCTCCACATCTACCTCTGGAAAATGGATGGAACCATCACCTCCTCCACCTCCTAAAAGGAGACCAATTCCCAGCTCTAGGTGAGTCTGAGTCCTGCTTATGATAGAACATGCACACTAGGGTGAATTTCACGAAAACATACATTGGCCATATTTCACCCCATAATTAGTTTTTTTTTTTTTAAGGGGAAAAAAAACATTAAAGGGTGAGTTCCCCCAAAAATGAAAATTCTGTCATCAGTTACTCACCCTCTTATTGTTCCAAACCCATAAGAATATCGGCCACCATATCGGTATCGGCAGATGTATATTCATTTTTAATGTTATGGTTATCGGCCCAATGAGAACATTTGGCCGATATATTAAAGCCGATAAATAATGGATTATTTCCTCTAGCTGAGACACTTCAGATGTGCACCATTATAGTTTTGAATTGCTTGAAATATGATTGGAATCACTTCAAAAATGGAAAATGCAGTTAAAGGGATAGTTCACCTAAAAATGAAAATTTGGTCATTTACTCGCTCTCAAGTTGTTCCAAACCTGTGAATGTTGGTAGCCATTGACTTCCATAGTAGGAAAAAAATATTAGGGAAGTCAATGGCTACAATCAACTGTGGTTACCAACATTCTTCAAAATATCACCTTTTTTTGTTCAACAGAAGAAAGAAACTTATACAGGAACAACATAAGGGCGAGTAAATTATTACATAATTTTCATTTTTGGGTGAAACTTAATTTAATTTACCCGCTAACAAAGTGCTTCAGTTTATGGATATTAATTCAGCTTTTCAGCTACAGAACACACCGCTCAAACACCAATGCTGTTATTTAATTGCTGTTATTTATTTTATTTTATTTTCAAAAACATTGATGCATTATTAATAATACCTAGCACTTATTTTTTCTTGTAATATTTTCATTAACAATATGGATTAGTTAAATTCGTTTAATTTTTGTCTGTGTGGAGGCTATTGTATTTTATTTATCCATGGCATATGCATTTTGGTTCTTTATACCTGTTATCCGATGAATTGTTTGCATTTTTTAGGTATTATTTTATTTCTTTAAGGCTATAGATTTAATTAAATTTTTTTAATAAAGGAACTTGAACAGGAGTGTAAAATTATTTTTAAGGAATCTTACACACTTGTTCAAACTATGTCTGATATATGTTGAAGTGCTTGGGACATGGCTTTTAATGGTGAGCCTTTTGTTTTTGTAATCAGGTTCTCAAAAAAATTATATCAACATTTGGATTTAGATTTATAGGCCTATATATATATACACTCACCGGCCACTTTATTAGGTACACCTGTCCAACTGCTCGTTAACACTTAATTTCTAAGCAGCCAATCACATGGCGGCAACTCAGTGCATTTAGGCATGTAGACATGGTCAAGACAATCTCCTGCAGTTCAAACCGAGCATCAGTATGGGGAAGAAAGTTGATTTGAGTGACTTTGAACGTGGCATGATTGTTGGTGCCAGAAGGGCTGGTCTGAGTATTTCAGAAACTGCTAATCTACTGGGATTTTCACGCACAACCATCTCTAGGGTTTACAGAGAATGGTCCGAAAAAGAAAAAACATCCAGTGAGCGGCAGTTCTGTGGGCGGAAATGCCTTGTTGATGCCAGAGGTCAGAGGAGAATGGCCAGACTGGTTCGAGCTGATAGAAGGGCAACAGTGACTGAAATAACCACTCGTTACAACCGAGGTATGCAGCAAAGCATTTGTGAAGCCACAAAACGCACAACCTTGAGGCGGATGGGCTACAACAGCAGAAGACTCCACCGGGTACCACTCATCTCCACTACAAATAGGAAAAAGAGGCTACAATTTGCAAGAGCTCACCAAAATTGAACAGTTGAAGACTGGAAAAATGTTGCCTGGTCTGATGAGTCTCGATTTCTGTTGAGACATTCAGATGTTAGAGTCAGAATTTGGCGTAAACAGAATGAGAACATGGAACCATCATGCCTTGTTACCACTGTGCAGGCTGGTGGTGGTGGTGTAATGGTGTGGGGGATGTTTTCCTGGCACACTTTAGGCCCCTTAGTGCCAATTGGGCATCGTTTAAATGCCACAGCCTACCTGAGCATTGTTTCTGACCATGTCCATCCCTTTATGGCCACCATGTACCCATCCTCTGATGGCTACTTCCACCATGTCACAAAGCTCTAATCATTTCAAATTGGTTTCTTGAACATGACAATGAGTTTACTGTACTAAAATGGCCTCCACAGTCACCAGATCTCAACCCAATAGAGCATCTTTGGGATGTGGTGGAACGGGAGATTCGCATCATGGATGTGCAGCCGACAAATCTGCGGCAACTGTGTGATGCCATCATGTCAATATGGACCAAACTCCCTGAGGAATGCTTCCAGCACCTTGTTGAATCTATGCCACGAAGAATTGAGGCAGTTCTGAAGGCAAAAGGGGGTCCAACCCGTTACTAGCATGGGGTACCTAATAAAGTGGCCGGTGAGTGTATATATACACACATATATAGGTTCTCTGCTTTCAAAGATAGTTATCGGTGCATCCCTATTGGAAACACGCATGAAGATATTTTTAATGAAATCTGAGATATTTCTGTCCCACCATTGAAAGTCTATTCACTTTAACATTTTTAATAAATCCAGATGAATCAAGCGGACAAAAATGTCTTTTAAATGGATTTATTTCATGATCTCATTATGAACACTTTGAAGTGTCAGAGTTTTGGGTGAATAGACTTTCAATCGAGGGACAGAAATCTCTCAGATTTCATTAAAAATATCTTCATTTGTGTTTTCAAGATATGGGTTTTGAATGATATGAGGGTGAGTAATTGGTGACAATTCATTTTTTTTGTTTGATGGATCTAACACTTTAAGACAAAAGTCACTGTCCAACAATATTACAGTAAATGAAGGAGAATATGCTTAATTGTCATAAATGTCACTGCAAATAATAGCTTTTCATTGCCATTTCAATGTGGTCTCTCTGTCTATCTGTATCTATCTATCTATCTTTCTGTCTTTAATAATTAACAAGCTAGTAAGTTTATAATAAATTTTGCATTAATGACAATCTATATTAATGTAAAAAGTATCTTGTTTCTTTATTTCTGCAGTGACAGTGACAGTGAGATGGAGATGAGGCTTAGAGAAGCTGCTGTGTCTGTGTCAGACATCCTCGGCCCTTTAGCCCAAACCCTCACAGAGAAGACAGAGGGGAAAAGTACGACAAACGTAGAGTCTGGGAAGGAGGACACAGTCGCAAAGAAGACAAAGAAAAAGAAGAAAAGAAAAACATTCACAGAGGGAAGTGAGGAGAAAAGTATTCATGTATCAGAGAAACAGTCTAATGGAAAAGGAACAGAAGCGCAAACAACTGTGGTCGAGAATTTGACAAAGAAAAAAAAGAAGAAAAAGAAAAGAAAAAAGTTGAATTCATCAAAGGGCGATGATGAATGAAAGACTTAATTGTTCGAAATAGCAATTATTCTGTTTATGCTGTTCTGGATGTTTGTATATAGTTTTATTATGTTCATTGAGGAATTAACAGTTGACTGCAAAGTTAAAAGAACCTGTTTCTTGCCAGTTCAGCATTTTCATGCTATAAATCCCTCCCAAAAAAATCATCAATAAAGTAGTTTATTTTGCAATTTTACTACAAAATATTTTTCGAAAGTCTAGTCTAGCAGACTGAAATCTAGAACAGTTGCATTATATTTTACATGCATTTTTAATTAGTCACATATTTGAAACCTGAAACTAATTATATACGTGTGGTGTGCACACGAGAGTTTGTTTTAAATTAAAACTTGACTGTCCTTTTATTGAGCATAATTGAAGGATTTGTGAAAAAACATCATCATTAGCATGGGTAGGCAGCAGATAGCAATATAGCAGGACAGATCATTGTTTTTTTTTTAGTTTTTCATTGTTGTCTGTTTGCTCTCAGCAGCTTTTGGAAGTGGTATTGTCATCAGTAGCTGCAGCTATTGTGCAGTAGAGACCATCTGTGTAGGGATGTACGGGTCGATGTCCCCTGGTGAAGAGGAAAGCAGGTGTGAAGGATGGGTTTCACTTGTCTGGGTCTGAGGGTAGAGCTCCAAACTATCCGAAGACACTGGTGAAGTGAGTGAGATTGATTAATGTTAAAGTACATTCTCTTAATCCAATTTATGTACATTGACTACTATTAGTATGCCATTCATGGGTTTATCTCCCCCAAAAGTGTAAACATTAAGCCTACTAGACACCGTCTAAACATCCTGTTCACACACACTCCGTTTGCAGTATGTATTGTAGTACGTATGCGGTGCAGGAGAAGCACGTGCTTATCCGCGGCTTTAAACAGAATAAATATAAACAACGCAATATTCGATTCATTATTTCTATATAGAATTATAGGCCTATGTTAGGATGCTCAAGCAAGTGGCAAAACATTTAAACATGATACTTCTTACGTAGAAAGTTAGTAATCACAAATACTTTAAACCAACTTACCATCCACACCAACAGCCGAAGAAATTGCCTCCCATGCCTTTTTCTTTCGTGTTTAAAACTTTATATGAAAAGTCCTGCTGGTCATACAACACTTGGTGTTTTTCCACCTCACTGTTTAGACGATCGTCATCCATTGTAGCTTTCTTGTTCCGAGTGTAGTTCTCTGACCACCAGCATGTCACATAATAGCATGGTGCGTTCTAGTGCATCTCACATTAGAAAAAAGTACTTTAGATGTCATTTTTACCGCAGTAGTTATTTTTGCAACTCCTGGTAAGTCTAAGGAAGCTTGTTTCCGCCACAGAATAATATATGGTAATTGTGACTTTGTCTTATAATTCTGGCTTTTCCCCTGCAATTGCAAGTTTATATCTAAATTAAAGAAATAAAACCAGAATTGCGAGAAACTCCGCTATAACATGCAATTTGCTGACTTATTTCTCGCAATTGTGAGTTAATATCGCGCAATTCTGACTATATCTGAATTGACAAAAATTGAATTTTTTTTTATTCTTATTTCGTGGCGGAAACAAGCTTCCATAGTTTAGCTTTTCTTTACTGTGAAAAATAATAGTATACTTAAATTCTATGCATTTATGGTAAAATTGGTATATTTTCATGTCGACGTGTGTTCATTTTGACCATGAATTGCGTGACTAGATGCAAGCTATCCCTGCACTGGCCGCGCCACAGCCATGTGCAGTGTGAATGCTTGTGCCTGTTTCGTGGGAAAATACACACTGCAAACGGAGTATGTGTGAACCTGGCGTCAGTCTCTTAACAGCTCGGGGTGTGGCTACTTTAAGCAGGTGGAGCCAAAGGGTATTTGCCGGTGCGGGTCCATGACTGACGTGCACGCGCTGATGGAAATTCAGCTTCGTTTCCAGAAGTGCAAGCCCAAATTCGCTGCATTTAGACTGCCAAAGATTAAACGGGTCATGAACTCGCCGAAGTGAACGGGGCATTGAGATGTACAAGTTTAAAATGCGTACCGGTACTCGGCTTCAAACAGTTGTGGCGTGTCACTTCAAAAAATGCTCCGGGTACTTTGGCTGCTTATAAGTGAGACGCTCGCGTTCGCTCTCTAGACTGTGTTAGCTTTCTCAACTGCTTACTTGACACATAGAAACACAGCTAAAAGTTTTCCTAATATATTGGACTTTTTATTGTAAGTAGCCTACTTTTACCCAGACAGCAACATAGTGTCGGCCCAGATCCGGCCCACATCTGGTACATGTGGATTCCATACGTACCAGATGTGGGCCGGATCTGGGCCGACACTGTTGCTGACTGAGTAGGTGTCACTATGTTGCAGAAATGAAAGGAGAATCATAGATGGGTAATGCAATGGTTTCATAGTAGTAAGATCTGAATTCGGCTACCGTAACAGGGTTTGTACCTGGTTCTGGTGAAGTGGATTGCAGATGTAAAGACTCCTCTTCAATGGGAGTGTCTGTGTGACCCTCAGGATCTGAGGTGAGAATCTGATCAGGAGGAAAAAGATTAATCATTTGAAAGAATCGCTGTAGATTCACAATAGTTTTACATTAAAATTAAAGGTAAAAGCTGTTTTGAATGTCTATAACACAGTTTTGTTTTTGATTTGAATCACTAAATGATAATGAATGTTGTCTTTGAATAGATTCAAATCCATAAAATAAATTCCATTCCTCGTTTTTATCTCTTGGCCATTTTTACACGCACAAAAAAAAATCAGATTGTAAAAGCATAATGTAAATGTGATAACCTGATTAAGTTACAAGAGCAGTTTCTAGAAATTCCAAGACAGTGTTATGTAGATACCTTATGTGAAATTTCGTCTGTTAAAGAAAATATTAATTTATATCAGATCAAAAATAATTCTGGGTGCTACATGCAGTGATTAAAACGTCACTTTTTGGATCTTCAAAGTTTTGGTTACCTGGACTTTCACACAGAAACCTCTCATATAAAAAAAAATCAGCATTCTTTTATGCATAGAAAATTCAAAAGAACAGCATTTATTTGATATAGAATGCTTTTGTAACATTATGAATGTCTTTATTGTCACTTTTGACCAATTTAATTCACCCTTGCAGAATATCTAACTGACCTTAAACATTTGAACTCAAGTGTATCTCCAAAAGAGAATTATGGGTATGTTTTAGTTTATTAAGAATATGCTGGATGTCATGTTCACATGTATGAATATGCCTGTGAGCTGTGAGTAAAGCCCAGTATACGAACCTTAATCTAAAAATGATGTGCATGTAAACATGGTCAGTGTGGTGAGATTGTGATGTTTGGTTCTTGCCTGTCGAACAGCTGTGAGGTTAGTCAGTGTCCCAATGCTGTTGCTGTCTGCGATGACCATAGCCTGGGACAGGAGATTGGAGGAGGGGTAAGAGCTCAGGTCTGCTTTGCTATACACTGAAACACAATATTAAAGCAGAATTTTGGTTAAGGCAAACTAGGTTTTTACATGGTTCTTGTCCATTCAAAACTCATCGGCACCATGCTATTGTTGTGTTGTAGCTAAAGTGTTCTGATTACTAGTATGTTGCTACACTACGGGTCAAAAGTTTGGAAAAATTAATATTTTTTTTGTGTGTGTGTTTAAAATAAGTCAGTTATGTTCACAAAAGCTGCATTTATTTGATCAAAAACTTTTTTATTATTTTAATATATTTTAAAATGCAATTTATTTTTTCTGTCAGCAAAACTGAAATCACGTGTCACATGACCCTTCAGAAATCATTCTAATGTGCTGATTTGCTGCTCAGTTATTTTGTTGTTGCTTAATTATTTTTTTAATAATGATTCTTATTGTTAGTAATATTTTTGTGGAAACTGACACATTTTGTTTTCAGGATTCTTTAATGAATAGAAAGTAAAACAAATTGACAGAAAATAATATTTTGAAATATTATAAATGTCTTTACTTTCACTTTTGATCAATTTACTGCATCCTTCCTGAATGAGTGTTTCCTTGTTTTTCTTCTTTTTTATTTCACTACCCAGAATGGTAGTGTATCACTGTTTCCACAAAAAAATATTAGCATCACAAATGTGTTCAACGTTGATAAAAAAAAAAAAAAATGTTTCTTGAGCAGCAACTCAGCATATTAGAATGATTTCTGAAGGACCATGTGACACTGAAGACTGGAGGAATGATCCTGAAAATTCAACTTTACAATTGCAGGAATAAATTACATTTTAAAATATATTAAAATAGAAAACACTTATTTTAAATTAATAATATTTCACAATATCACTAGTATTGTTGCTATTACTGTAGTTTTGATCAAATAAAATGCATCCTTGCTGAAGAGAACGTCTTTCAAAAAACACCACTATAGTGTATAGTATGGAAGTAAAATAATCCCAAATGTTTTTGAAACAAAAAGCCTGTTGAATTGTACTACTTGAAAAAAATATGCATTGCATTAACCCTGCTTGTATTTTAATGCATTGTATTATTAGGGCTTGCATTTTTATAGGCTGAAATTTAGCATGGTTGAATATTTAAGCTGTGAATATTTCAAATCAAATCATTTCAAACACATTTTCATTAGTACAATTTCAATAATCCATATTCACCTTTCATATTTCATATCCCAAATATTCAAACTGATTAAAAATACAACCTATAATATTCAACAGGCGGTTTTCGGTCCATTTTATTTCGCTTTGCAAATTCGCTTCCACAAATTCAGTGGTTCAAATTCGACAGTAAATTCAACATTGACATCCAGGAGCTGCAGGAAAAGTAGTAGATAACCGAGCATAATCTCCATCTGCTGTTAGTCGACCACACCAGCAGGGGGTGCAAGCGCGTGTTGTTGACGAAGACCAGAGCAACAGTTAGTGCAAGCCATTCATTCATAAAAACTTATTTACAAAAATGTAAGTGTATTTGTGATTATTATGACGTCTGTTTTATGTGAAATTCAGTTTGTTCACGATTACTTTTCCTGTGTAGCCTACATGCATCTTTCTCTACCATGAACGATAATGTTATTCCCCCGATGCGGATGTACAGATCCAGTGTTACATTTGACATATTTCTCTTGGTTGTTTAGTTGCCTTAACCTTATATTGCAGCGATGTGCTGCATGCAGTACTAGGGTTTGGTTTCCCTCAATATGTCAGGATTCCCCTGCTGGACATATAAAACGCTTAACGTAGCTTAATGGACATAAAAGACCAAACTCGCAGGCTAGCAGATGGACTCAGAATATGAATTTAACGCGCAAAGTTTAATGCTGAGCGTTTCCCAGTGATATACTGGCATAAATTTGGTTTGACATTGGAAATTCGCACATTTAGGGACCGTCTCTAAAGTTACATACGAAATTGGTATACACGTTTCTAACTTAAATCCCATTTGAAAAGAACGACTTACAGTCATAAAACCAACTGTAAAGTGTTCATGTAGGTGTCAGGCTCAGGCATAATGCGCAATTTATTTAAATAGATTGAAGTTTGCTATTGAAGTTAGAAACGTTTAGGCCTATAGGACTTGTTACTTTAGAGACGGTCCCTAAATGTGCGAATGTCAACCCAATTTTACATTTAGTCTTTTAGCTGGCACTTTTATCCAAAGCGACTAGTTAAACTAACAATATAGAACAACAATATGAAAGTGCTACTTCCCAGTTTAATCTAATGCAGTACATGTACAATACATACTTTCCAAATAAGGTGCGAGTTTGGTCTTTTATATCACTGTAGTCCATTAAGCTACGTTAAACGCTTTGTCCTGACGGAATTCGGGGAATCTTTGAGTATGATGATGTATTGAGGGAAACAGATTATAATCCCGTTCACTGTAGAAAAGGCTGATAACATAAGGCTACACAGGGAAAGTAACAATGAATGAAACATAAAAACAGCTTTTGTGCCTTTATCATCTTTTCCGCATATATACTGACCCAGATAATCGTCACAAAAAACATAATGCATGCTGAGTTTTTATGAATGAATGGCTTGTGCTAACTGTTGCTCTGGTCTTCGTCAACAACACGCGCGTGCACCCCCTGCTGGTGAGGTCGACTAACCGCAGATGGAGATTATGCTCAGTAATCTACTGCTTTTCCTGCAGCTCCTGGATGTCAACGTTAAATTTACTGTCGAATTTGAACCACTGAATTTGTGGAAGCGAATTTGCAAAGCGAAATAAAATGGACCGAAAACCGCCTGTTGAATATTATAGGTTGTATTTTTAATCAGTTTGAATATTTGGGAAATGAAATATGAAAGGTGAATATGGATTATTGAAATTTTACTAATGAAAATGTGTTTGAAATGTTTTGATTTGAAATATTCACAGCTTAAATATTCAACCATGCTAAATTTCAGCCTATAAAAATACAATGCATTAAAATACAAGCAGGGTTAATGCAATGCATATTTTTTTCAAGTAGTACAATTCAACAGGCTTTTTGTTTCAAAAACATTTGGGATTATTTTACTTCCATAGTATAGACAGCTATGGTGTATGTGGTTTCTATGATGTTTTGGATGGTTTCTAAGAAATCACTAGATGGTTTTAAGTAAAAAATGTCGCCCCATAATAATAGGCATGCTTGTCAAAGCACCACTAATTAATTACACCACTAATTAAGTGTACTTACTGTGGCATGGGAACTGTGCCATTGTTGCCATGAAGGAGCTTGGGCCAATGTGCGACTGGAGCTGCTGTGCTATTGGCTGCTGAGGTGAGCCTTGAAGCTGCTGCTGAAACGAGATTGGCTGAAGGGTAGTAAACCCTCCCCCCATGTTGACGGTCTGTGGTTGAGAGGACGTCAAACCTACCGTGAAATACATGCATTAACATTAATTAGCAGTGTTTTGGTGTTAAACTGTTCATGTAGATCACTATATGCATTATACCTATGAGAAGTGAGGAGTCTCCTAGACTCATTACACTTGGTAGGGAGGCCATGATCAGTCCTGGAGGGGCAGCGGAGGATCCGGACAATCCATGCAATGAAGTGAGAGTACTAACAGGAGGTAAGGAGCCACCACCAGATACCTAAGAGAGGAATAAAAACTCAGACTGTCAAGCTTCAGTTTTCATTTGCCTTAAAGGGATAGTTGACCCCAAAAGTGAAAAATCTCATGGGCTTTTTTTTTTATGTCTGTTTTTATCCATACAATGACAGTCAAAGTGGTTCTAGTGTTGTTTTGGTCCCCACCGACTACTATAGAATGGACAAAAGCTGTTGAAAATTTCTATTTTATTTCTATTGAAAAATATATTTTGTGTCCTGCAGAACAAAGAAATGTGTACATGACCCAGTTTCAGTATCACATTAAAAGCTTAATTTTTTTAAATAACGGCATTAACTAGCTAATTGGCATTGCTCCATGTGAAAAGCTCAATAAACATAATAAAATACTGATATAGAATGTAAAGATAAATGTAAAATATCTCTTTTTGAGCCATGTGGTCATAAAATGTCACTACAATTAAGATGTCATGTCAGAAACATGAAATTTATTTAATATTAAAATATGACATATTCAATGCATAATATATTAATTCCAATATAAGGCAGGCTTCAGTTTTTAGTACATTAACCATTTAATATGTAATGTGATGATAGGTCGCAAAGTGGCTGATATAAAAATATTAAAAATATATAAAAATTGTTACACACACACTTTGAACAACATGAGGGTGAGTAAATAACTTCTACCGGTAATTTTGAAAAATAGAAATAAGAAATGATTGGGAAAAAAAACTTTGTGAAACTAAATCCCCCAGTAGGTGGCGGCAAGTCAGCATAATAATGAGTGAGTAATTGAATCATTCAAAATGACCGATTCATTCAGGAACTAAGCAAGTGAGTCATACATTTATGAATAGGTCATTGAATCATTCAATCAACCAATTTGTTCAAAACACGGACCATTCAGGAATAAAACACAAATGTTGTTCAAAGATGTGCTACGATTCTCCTATGGAGTTGTTTGGAACTATTATAGTTAGCGAAAAGGAGCAAAAATAAACGATACTGTGTCTAAAATATAAAATAATAACTTATTGTTTGTCAAACTGTTGAATAAAATCAATATCACATTTGCGATCATGCTGATATTCGGGGAAAACAACAGCACTTATACTGTATGTCATACATGCAAAGAAAAAAAAAACACTAGAAAAGGGGCATTTTTTGCACCCATATCTTGAATTTTGGGATCAGTTTGGTGGCATTTTTGCCTCAAAGCCCTGTTAAAGGTAGGGTACGTAATTTGGGAGAGGCTAGGAATAACAAGCTAGCTTTAAAAGTACAAGATCCCACCTTCCCTTCAGAGTGTCTAGGAGGAACTGTAAAAGGTGTCTGTTTGTTTTTGGCGCTCAGTGACTGTGTCTATCTGTGCGTTCACACCGCCGGCGGCGAGAGCGTCAAAGTGGCCGGAAGTCATTCATTTTCAATGAGAGCCGGCGGCGAGCTCCGGCGAGGGCGGCGCGGCGCGTCTTGGACGGTGAGAGCGGCGAGGAGCGGCGAGAAGAAGTTGAAATCAGCTCAACTTTAGGGAAATGAGCTATGACGCGGTTCGGCGGCAGCCGGCGGCAACCAATCGGAATGTAGATGTGCTCCGTTTGAGAGGATTCCAGAGAACGCAGTCAAGTAACAAAGGTTCCGACCACATTAGTTCCCAAGCAAAATAGAGGAGAGGTTGATCATTTGAATTTCATAAGAAGGCGCGCAACACTATTTATAGGCAAGATATTCGTGCTAGAACGCTTGTTTTTCAGCGGGAATGCAAATTAGAATAGCATTTAACCATGAACACAAAAGCCACACCAAACAAATGGCTTTTAATTTGTTTATTTCGTTAGCAAACATGTCACTATAATTAAGTTCTTTCCATCGATACATTTTCTGCAAACATAACGATCGACATGCTTGTTTGCTTCGCGGCCCCTTTAAATAAAGTTTTAAAAAAGACCAAGCATTCGATCTACGTCAGAGCATCAGAGCGTCCACGAATCTTTCCACGGCGTCGCTGACAGGGCGGCGAGAGCGAATTTTGCCGCTCTCGCCGGCGGCGGTGTGAACGAACGGTATGTCTGCGCGAGCAGGGTGTGCAGAGCAGAGGTATGGAAACACAAATGCTGACAGGCAGGTAGGACATCCCATTATTGGATGAACATTTTTTAATCCTGCGACTTCCACAGAAGATACATGTTCATTTTTTAATATTTAGACCACTTCTGTTATTGATTTCTATCAGGACGAGAAGAGCATTTCAACCAGTATAACAAAAAGTGTTATAAAAAAAGATTGCCTACCCTACATTTAATTGCCGACCTGCATTCCGTTATTGTGAACACAGACTGTTCCTTTAATCTCACTGATTTATTGTGATATGTGTCAAGAAGTGTATTTTATTCTCACTGGTTTAAGATGGTGTGCATCCAGGAGTGTATGACTGGGTTCTAGCTGAACTGGACTGGCGAGACGACCGCCACCACCCCTATCTTCACCACTGGAGCTTCTCATTGTGCCCAAACTCTCACACAGCACTGACTGGCTGTACTTCAGACCTTCAGTGAATGGACAAAAGAGAAAGATAGGTAAAACAGGTCAGATTTAGGGAGAAATCTTCAAAGAATTCTTTTAAGTCATTCAAAATCAACCCATTGGACACTAAAAAGGTTTCAAAATGGAGTAATTGTTTTTGCACGAATGACAAGCATCAGTCAACAGATGGTATATGAGCTTGAATGACTTCGTACCTGGTGAAGGACTAGATGATAATGTTTGTCCTGTGGAGGAAGCAGATTGGCTGCTGTAGGGAACGTCCAGTGCTAGTTTGTGGCGAAAGGCCTCCTCTTTTCGCCGATTCGCGAACCAATTGTATACACGAACTTCCGTGACCAAATTAGAGCCCAGGCCAGCCAATTGAGAAGGAGAAACTCCCCTCTGAAGACACTCCGCTCTAAAACACACACATGCATTCAAGCGGTATTACCCAGCTTCTGCTTACCAAATTTGAGTGCTCTATGTCTATATGTGAATAAAAGCCTAAATTAAATCTGTTCATCATATAAAACGACCGCATCTCTTCAGAAGACTTGTGTTAAACAGCTCGATTCATATGGATTTCTTTTGCGATCTCTTTAAGAACGCTTTGAAGCGTTTTGTGTAAATAGACTTTTAATGGATGAACAGAAATCTCTCAGATTTCTTTAAAAATATCCTCATTTGTCTTTAGAATATAAACAGAATTGGTTTGAAATGACATGAGGTTAAATAAATGTTGACAGAATTAAAATTTTTGGGTGAACGATCCCTTTAACCCTTTAATATCTTGGGTCTTACTCTTTAGCGACCTGGGAAGTCATTCACTACCATCCTCCCCCTCATTAATTTTTTTAAGTTAGATATCAACCTTCTTAGTATTCCTCCATCAATTCATTATAAACAATATAACAAGAAAAAAATAAAATCATAAAAGAATGCCTGTATTCCCATTTATTTATTGTAAAAAATTGTATAGGGTCGCAAACAACCCGAGGTTTGTAACAATGTATAAGTATGAGAAAAAGTATATATTTTTTCTGAACAACAACAATTTAATCTTTGATGCTGAATTGAACACAATGATAAAGTGACGTTTCACTCATAGTTACTGCAGGCAGAAAACAAAAGAATAGGAAGAATCATCAGCAAAACTTGAAATGGTTCAGTGATTTACTGCAGAGCAAGTACTGAACGCAATCTAATATTAGTGTCACTGTAACTTGATGGTGGATCTGGTAAAGAAGCTGTCAGCGATCAAAATATTGATTTTGAAGATGTTGAAAATGATAGCTTGCGAATATGAGCCAGATGCTGAATGTACTGGGAAAAACGCTCTGATGAGGACAGTGATGATGGTATAAAACATCTGCTCAAACTGAACCCTTCCAAGCTCCAAAAGGTTACAAAATATGCTTTATTTTATTCTTCTGTAATTGTCACTGTAATATCAGGAGAGTTTTAAATTATCGTGACAGGTAGAGATCCATCCGTGATAGAGATCCGGGTCTCTTAGGACCCGAATATATATAATAATGATAGGCGAAACATTCATGCATTTAAGGGTTGAAATCAATTTGGGTTATGACACCCAGTTCACTCCTGTGTCCATTTACCTGTTGCACTCCTCCACCAGTCCCTCCCTCTCCTCCTTACTGGGGTTCTTCTGTCGTTCATAAGCCTGGAACAGGATTTGCTGGGAGGCAGGACCCCATTTGAATCGATTCCTCCGTCCCTTTCTCACATCCTCCCCGGATTCCTCTCCTGACATGACACCGCGACTGGCATTGGTGAATTCTGCATTCATCAGTGTGAGATGAATTCATTCTAAAAGTGTACAAAAACAAAATCTTGTAAAAGAGAAATAAGAAATGTCCATATACTCACGTTGGCTGATCTCTGTCTGTTTCTTGATGTACCAGCTGTACAGGGCGGCACGCTTTTGGTTCTTCATGGGTGTGCCCTTGTTGAGGTGCTGGGAGAGATGGGATTGGTTGAGGCCCGTGGACTCCACCACCTCTCTCTGTGGTAGGTTGTGCTGCTGCATGTAACTCTTCACTATTTTAGCCACATGCCAGGGATCCTGTCTAACACACCAACACATTAATACATTAGAATATGCCTTTCTGAATATCTCCAAATAAGTTCTCATGAAAGTGCATGAACAGCATGAGGTTTATTTCGGGATAATTCTAAGGAAATTGTGCCATTTTTGCTTATAAATTTCAGGATTTCTTTTTTTTTGTCTCTCAAGAATCATATTTTTCTATCTTAATTATGTGATTACGGCCTTTCCAAATATTCTATATGTATTTTAATTACGGTATTTAAAAAAAAAATTTGAATACTTTTATTCAAAGGTAATTTTGGGGTCAGTAAAGTTTTTTTCTATTATTTAATACTTTTATTCTAAGGTCATTTTTTAAGTTCATTAAATTGGTTAAAAGTGACAGCAAAGATTTATGTTACAAAATATTTCTATTTCACATAAATTCTTTATATTCATTAGACAATGTATCAGTTTCCTAGAAATATTTAGCAGCACAACTGTTTTCAACATTGATTACACACACACACACACACAGCACACACACACACACGCACGCACGCACACACACACACACACACCATATATTTATATTAGTACATAGTATATATATAGTATATATTACAACGATTGCACTGTTGCCTGTAAAAAAAAACCTACAAAATATTCGGAACATTTTATTTTCATTTATATCAAGACAAAACACTTTAAAAATGTTTTGAGAGAAGGGTGAGGGGGAAGAGGAAGGATAATATAGAGGTAGAGATGGTGCAATGTTTACACTGTAAGATAAGGAAAGAGACACAGGGCCAAAGTCCAGTAAAAGAATAACCTTTGTGAAAGCTATACAAACACACAAAGCCTCACAAACACACAAACATATCCAACAGCAATGCATTTCAACTATACAAATCACTCACACATATAAAGCTATTTAAATAAAGAGCATTACAAATCCATTTTCATCACTGTTCAAAGAACCACATTTTTGGCAACAAACCTCCCTTCACAACAGCACTATCTTTACAATATCACCACAGTCTTGTGTACACAAACACACACACACAGCGCGATGCCACTCTGTTAATTTTAACCAGTCGATGTAGCTCATTTATTAAAAAGAAAGAAATGGCCAGAGAATAATGAATACGGTGGGTAATTAGTAACTAAAAAAGGTGGAACCTCCTTTATATTCACCCCATCAGTTGGGAAGCAGAGCATTAGAGGAGAGAGGAAGCCAATGAATAGGAATAGAAGAGAGAAGACCTGAGATCAGCCAGAGAAAAAGAGGAGGTTTAATCAGGATGTTATGGAGTAAAATAGTAAGTTGAGAAGACGAAGGTAGATTCTGATGATGCTTCTTTAGAAGAGCAACATTTGAGGCACTAAAGTCTTGTTAGATAGTTCAGCGTGTGTGTTTTGGATGAAGTTTGGATTGATTGAACGTTTTTTAGTTACTCACTGCAACAGCTGGTCGACTTCAGCCCGTTGCCTGGCGGCCTCCTCCGGTGGAAGTCTCTCTAAATCATGGAAGATGGGAGGAGGATTGTCCATCTCTCCCTCCTCAGAGCTCTCTCCGTCGGCCCGGTCCGTTCTCTCTCCACCGGCCGAGCCCCGTTCTCTCTCCAGGTCTCCCATGGCCTGGATCAGCAGCTCTTTGGACAGTCCCGAGCCCAGCAGAGACCACACCAGCTGCTCCTGCAAGGCCGACAGCCGGCCGCTTCCTTCTCCGGCTCTCCTCCCCTCTCCTCCCTCCATCTCTCGTGTTCCGAGGTGTTTTAGCAGCCGTTGTTCTTCTATAATTTGCTCGCACACACTTCGTGCGCAAACAGACGTACACACACGCAGTTATCGGACGCGTTCAGTATTCACCTGTTTCTCAGGGTTTGAGTTCTGCAGACCGTCCTTCAGAAGAAGAGCTTGTTTTCATTTTCTTTATCCTTTTCTTTTCCTTGTTTTCCAGTGTTCCTCTGTTTCTGCTCCTGTATTAAGTCTAGACACCTGATGTCCTTTTGCTTTGAAATCTGATTTTTTGCTACTTGCTTTTCCCTTCATCCCCTCCTCCTTACTCTGTCGCTCTCGCTCTCTCTCTCTCTTTCTCTCTCGTTCTCTCCCCCTCTCTTTGTGAACTTTGGCCTCGGCCTGTGTTGAGGGCAAAGTGTAGAGTCTAACCATTCAGTGAAAATGAGCATTACAAACACATTCAACACTCACACTGTAATCTTGCCTGAGAGTCTTGAAACGTTTGAGACTCCTGTTTACATGTTCACATCACATACTGCACATAATGATGTTTCTTAAAACTTCTTGCACTTTTATGTACCATACCATTTATGTACCAATTGTTGCAATTTAAAAAATATATATATTTGAAAATGACATTAAAACTTGGAAACTTATTTATTACAATTATTGGAGTCCTTTAAGTATACATTTTATTTGATAGGTTTTATTGTTTCACCCTTGTTCCAAACTCAGACATTTCATTTTAAAAAAAAAATCTTAAAAGAGAGTGAAATAAACAATTTTGATATTTATTGTTTATTGTTACACAAATTATGACTTACCTTCAGTTGTGATGTCATTGTAAGGGGTTTTCCTTTGTGTTTTTTGCGTGACAAAACAATTGAAATTAGACTTAGCAATAAAGGAATCAGACATTTTGTTACAAACATGTTGATCAGCTTTAATTCTGCTAAATGATTAAATCAAGATAACAAAAGCAGTCAAATGTCAAAAGCATTCAAATGTATAATTTAACTTGCAATCTGCCAAGGAGTGGAAAAATATGTCCAAATAGTCCATTTAATGTCAAAGAATTTTACATAAACACAGGTTTATAAATAAGCTTTTTTCACAAAATCTGTCATTTTCTGTTACTGTTTGGATGTAGTAAAACTCCCACTGCAGCAGAAAACTTCTGGGTCGTGTTTGCGTTTTCTTCTGTCGCTGCATGGTCATAATTCTAACCTTGAAACCTTGACCAGCCACGCATGTGAAAATCTAATGAGAATTGACCAAATACTTCTAATCTAGCTCAGAAGATATGAATCATGTCTTTGTGGCAGTTTTACTGATGATAATACAAAACTCATTCACCTTGCAAATGGTTGTTGAAAGCAAAAATGAAATCAGCACCAAAAAATAAGTAAGAAACAAATATTGGATTTTAATAAGCAAATATGATGCAGGGCGATGAACTTTCACACCTGTGTCCGTTTATGTGACATCAGACTGAGGTGTTTACTTGATAAAGCCCTTTCACTTCCTGCCTCTCTCAATATCACAACCTAACCCACAGTTATCCTTCAATTTGTTGTCCACGTGTAATCGTCAGTGCCACTTTTTCCACTCCATTTAAAAATAATTGCATCTATATTTGTCAAAAATTGAAGTCTAAAATACATTAACATATATTTTACACATTTATAAAACTGTTCACCCTGTAGTTTTTTTTTTATTGAGCGTATAGTTCAACTCTTGTTAACTTATACAAAGTTATTGTCACTGTTTTCAGAATGCTAGGGACTCATATAAAAATGTGCTTTAGGATAGTAGCATCATCTGTAAAAGTACAGTACACCTGCACTGTACAACTGGAAAATGGAGCAAAATATATTCAAACAAACAAGAGAAACATCAACTCAAGTCTTTAACTCACATAATTAAAGCTTAAATATTCCCTGCAATAAACCATAACGTATACGACAGTTTGAGGTCGGTAAGATTTTAACTGTTTATGAAAGAAGTCTCACCAAGGCTTAATTTATTTTATTAAAATGACATTAAAAACAGTAATATTGTGTAATATTATTACAATTTTAAATAACTGTTTTCTATTGTAATATATTTTAAAATGTACTTGATTCCTGTGATGCAAAACTGAATTTTCAGCATCATTACTCCAGTCCTGAGTTTCACATAAACCGCCGCAAGCATTTGAATGGTGTATTTCCTAACATGTGTAAACAGGAATTGGTAAATTGTGTGCATTGCATGACCTGATGTTTATATTTGAGTAGTTAAAATAGCAATGGATGCTCAACACACTAATCAAAATTACAATCTGAAACATTTTTTTCTCTCTTGGATTCTCATTCAAACCTGAAAATGACCATGTTCTGTATGTGAGTGTGACCCTTTTTGTATTTAAATTTGACTTTTTAAAAATCCAATCCTTTTCAAAACCTTGTTTGAGACAAAACAACACACAGGCAACAGGAACAAACTCTTGGACACTTAGATACAACTCAAACAAAGTTTTTATATATAGAACTGTAATTATACACTATTTACATTTATCTCACAAATAACACCCATAATTTAATAAATTCAATTTACATGCTGAAGTGCATAGTTTTCCATATAACATAGGCCACTCTGAATTACAGTAAGCTCTCTGGAGCTGAAGCCCCATTGTCACAGAACAATGGGAATCATTAGCAATTCTTCAAAAAATAGCGAACCATCCAGGGAACATTCACACCAGGTGTTAGTGGACTGAATGGACGGAGACTTTATGGCCACAAAGAACTTGTGAAGGGGGAGCGCTAGGGATTGACAGTCTTTGGTTGCACACAGAAGCACTTTCTAAATGTATTTGCTAAAATCACTGTTCAATATGGTTTGCGAACGTCTTGCTATCTGTACGTCAGAGCGATGAAGGGTGCATGTTCTAGATGCACACCGTAATTTGGACAGGGCTGTGCGATATTGTCCACTAAGCTGCAGTGTAAAGCCAGTCCCAGCTCTAAAGAGGGCTGCAGGGGGGCGGCACCCTCCCTGCCCTCATTTACCTCCCCCCACACTACAGGCACTGTGTCTTGAAGGGATGGGGGTCTTTGCTTTCGGACAACGGCCCCTGGTCTGGTCAAGCCCCTCACCCGATGCATTTCCATCAGGCTCGGGCCTCGACTGGATCCTCCGATCGCCCGCTGCAGAGCCTGGAAGAGGGCGAGAAGATCTACTCTCAGCTCCACGACACCATCTCGAAACCAGACACTGTACCTGCAGAGAGAAGGACAAAATTGGGATGATTTTATATATTTTTATTTTTTATTTTTTATATCTGTCATTTAATTTAGTCATTTCTTTGGAGAATAGTGTTATTAACAACATTCTCACTTCATCTATCAAGTTCCTCTGCCTCACCTGGTAGGGAACCCTCGTTTCTCCAGTGAGGGGAGCACAGGTTGGATGTTGAGGTGTTGGGGGTTTGAAAAGTGAAAATGAACTTCCGCTTTCTCCAACGGTGCAGACAGCACATCTTCGCCAAGCAGAAATTCAATGTTGGAGTCTTGACAAGTCAGAAAGAGACACTTTATGTTAAGGGACAGTGCTGTCATGCAGTATATACTACTGTAAAATATAAGGATTATTGTACCGACAAATGATGTGTTACCCTGTTGAAAAGACAAGGCTGGCTTTGTGCTGTCTAGTTTGGTGGTCTTTCAATTATATTTCAAGGGAATTTCAGAATTTCAAGGTGCCTGTTGCTCAATTAAAATAGTCATTTAGTAATTTACCACCCATGGCTATAAACACACACACATATAACTTTTTTTATATTAAGTAATACAAGTTATAATGCCAATATTTTTGGTCAAAACCGCCCTACAAAATCAAATCGCTTGGCGCTCCTGTTGCTATCTTTTTTGACTAAATTTGAATAACGCTGCTTTATTTTAAACCCTACCTTTTGTAGAACTTCACTCTAAACTTCATTTAGATGTTTTGAGACTTAATTACCTTTAATTTACTGCTCACCATAAAAAATGTAGCCGGTGAAGCTTTATCTAATCGAGGAACGATTACGTGAATAACATCGGGGCCTTAAGCCTAGTGGAGACACCAGCATCCCATGTTGCGCATCAGTTTCTCAGCAAGGTATCGAACTACTTACCTCCAATTTTTCCGCCTTGTATTCCCTTGACACTTCCACAGTGGTACCCCACTTGACAACAGCGATACACCCGTCTAACGAATCTGAAGAGGGCTTGTTCTGGAAAAACAGCACGACGTGGACCATCACTCATCGTCGATAATATCTTCAGACGGTACATCTGGCCCCAGTCCCCAAGCGGACTGGTGCTCTCCGTCCACGGTGCGCTCAGGAGGGCGCACTGGTCGTGCTCGGATCCCGGTTCGCGACGGCTCCGTCTCTGGACGTGTCCAATACGGATTTTACGCTCTCCTTGAAACGATGTCACCTTGCGAAGCTGTGAACGAAACGATCGGCACTGTACTCCTATAGTAATAGCCATGAAAGCAAGGACAAGCAGTGAAACCCGCGTGCGCGTAACCATGGCCATCTCAAGTATCCACATATAGTATTGCTCACCGGAGATGCTCGTCTTGTGCTCTCCACGATACGACTAAAGAGGGCGAATCCCCCGGCTCTGACAATAAGCTCAGCTTGTTCTGTGGAATTTGAATTTTGGCTTCTTCTGACTCTCCTCCCCCTGGTTTTGTTTGGGACCCTTAAGCAGCCATTCGCACCCCCATCGACCTTTTAAATGTGTCTGCATAATGAGGCGCCTAGAGCCCTGCCAGTTCAGTCTATTCTTATTCTCACTCCTAATGACCATCATTACAGAGCATCTGCACCATCACCAACGAGCTGCTCATTTGCAAGAGAAACAACTTTGGACCGAGGGAAGCATAAAACTTTCCCCAAAGTGCACTACCCTGACAATGGCTCCACAACCGACAGAGAGGTAATCTGGAGCTCTCCTGGATGCTATATAGAAACCAAACCATTCATCTGGATGCACATACACTGGCCCTAAGTAGTATTTGGACACTTAAGCTACTCTTTGTAATTCATAATAACCTACTAATGTATGAATTTAATTGCACAGATAACAAACAATCAAATCAAATTGCCTTTCTCCGAATTAACTTCACATTTGAAGTTACTTTTAACCAGGTACAGTTTAAATGTTACGTTTACTGAATGTATACAAACTCATTTATCAAGTTCTTACAGGTGTCTTATCAGGTGTTTACCACAGGTGTAGTTCATCAAAACAATCCAGTAACATTCGGCATCTATAAAGTCTTTGTGTAGAACAACATATGTATTTTTATAATTTGAAACTATTTTTTGTGAAATATTTTTGCCTTAAAAGTGTTTGCAAATACTTGTAGAGCAACTGTAATATATAGGCTACACCACAGAATTTATTTGATTTAATATAGTAAAAACAGTAATATTGTGAAATATTATTTTCTATTTATCAGTTGTATTTTTAAAGCATAATTTATCTCTAATTTTCAGCATCATTACTCCAGTCTTCTGTGTCACATGATCCTTCAGAAATCATTCTAATTTACAGATTTGCTGCTCAAGACACATTTCTTATTATTATCAATATTAAAACAGTTGTGCTGCTTAATATTTTTATGGAAACCGTAATGCAAGATTCTTTTATCAATAAAAAGTTAAATAAATTAACAGCATTTCTTAGAAATAGTAAGCTTTTGTAACATTGTCTTTACAGTCACTATTGATTAATTGAATGTGTCCTTTCTGAATAAACGTTTAAAAAAAGTCTTACCTTTGAACATTTGTATAAACATATTTCTGCAATATATCTTAACCATCCCGACAATCTCAAACAAGTGTACTAAAGGACGTTTATTAACACTCAAGCATAATTGGCTTCCATTTAAAAAGGTGAAAGTTTTAACAACTATACACATCTAGCTTTAACTGTAACACTGAATGGTCCCACATTTAAAACCGGAATCAGTTCTCTAAACAGCAAAGGGTTACAGCAGAACCAGTCTCTCCGGAGGGAGACACTTCCTCTATATTTTTGTATTTTACACTTTCATCCTCTACTTTTTATAATGAAATGAACAAACAGCAGCCTATTATATAAAAAGCATTCATTACATTCAGCAGTATAAGAGAGACATACTGTATATAGTATAAACATGGTGGATATCTATGACAAAAGATATCAAAGAGGAATTCAAATCCAAGAAATTTAAAGCAAGTTAACCCCATGTTTAAGGAGCCGCTGACGGGCTTTTCTGGGTAGTGAGAAGGCACTATCCTGAGGATCAGGACTTCCAGAGTTTCTGACAGGTGTTCCCTGCTGGAGAAAATACGTCTCCTGGGCGGTGTTACGGGTTCCATACACTGCCGCGCCAGCGTTCCTGTAATTCAGGACACAAACACTGTTTACATAGCTGAAATGTGCGTAAAACTATTTTTAACACTCATGTTTGAACCTCTAGCATACAGTGATGATTACATACACATAATTATTCAGAGAAAACCTGTGAAACATTTTCAAAACACACATTGTATGACAGAAATGACCAAAACAGGCATTCAAACACACTCTAACCTGACAATGGCCTCCTGTAGTGTGTCTAAGTGTGAGAACTGTGAATGGAGCAGTGCAGTGGCCCTCACAAAGGCACGATCCTGGGGTCCAGCGGAGCGCCCACATACATTAGCTACAGAACAATAGAAAAGTCACTGTGTATTTTATGTATGTTCCTGAAATAGTTAAACATTTGTCAACATTTAGACTGAGTTGGCGAAGATCCTCAGTAAGTTTGGCACAATTCAAAATTCAATTAGGATACTGTTTTTTTTGTGTGTGGATGTTTATATATGTACGAGATGGGACTTACTAGTGAGTGTGTTTTGAATGCAGTCATAGTGGGCAAAGGTGTAGGGCCCCGGTGGGCCGGGGGTCCCTGGTAAGGTGTTCCTCAAGTGAGCCTCAAGCCCATTCAGTGATGCCAAGCTGCTGTGATGCTGCAATAACAACAGACAACACTTTTATAACAGAAAACACAGCTATACACATTGAAAAGTTTGGGTCAGTAACATTATTTTTATATTTTTGAGTTTCATGCATTGCTCACCAAGGCTGCACTTATTTGATCATCATCAGTATTCATTATGTTTATTGAGCATTCATGTGATGTAATAATAAAGGTAATGTCATAAGACATTTTTTTATAGTTTTTAAAAATTGTTATGTTATACCAAAACTGAGTGATACCAGACTTTTGAGTTATACACTACCATTAAAAAGTTTAAGGTTGGTAAGATAAAAAAAAAAAAAAAAGTTTTCTCTTATTTTTACCAAGGCTGCATTTATTTGATGAAAAATACAGTAAAAACAGTGATATTGTGAGATATTATTGCAATTTAAAATGGCTGTTTTGTATTTTAATCCATTTTAAAATGTAATTTATTCCTGTGATCAAAGCTGAATTTTCAGCATCATTACTCCAGTATCACATGATTCTTCAGAAATCATTCTAATATGCTTTTTTTATTTTTTATTTTCTGCTCAGAAGCAATTTGTATTATCAATGTTTTTATAGATTTTTTTGAGGATTATTTGATGAATAGAAAGTTCAAAAGAACAGCATTTATGGATTTTTTTTGTAACAATAGTAAAATCTTTACTGTTTCAATATACTGATCCCAATATATATGTGTGTGTGTATATATATATATATATATATGTGTGTGTGTGTGTGTGTGTGTGTGTGTATATATATATATATATATATATAGATTGATATATATATATATATATAGAGAGAGAGAGAGAGAGAGAGAGATAGGGGGTTCACATTCAGCACAATTCATTAAGTTAATATGTATAAAATATTTCAAGTAGACACACACACATGCTTCTCACCACTTCATCTCTGGCCGTAGGGTCTGTGTTGAACTCGGGCTCCACCAGTAGGGCCAGGACCAGCCCATTGACTCTATGCTGGTATAATACTGAGGGCACTAGAGAGCTGTCTACTAGTGGTTCATGTGGTGGAGGTGCGTTTGTGGGCTCAAATTTCTCCTTGAGTCTTCCTTCGACTTGCTTGCTCTTTGTTCTACTCTCTTTCTCTGTTTCTTCATGGAATTTGCCATTCTTATTGGTCACATGATTGTTAGTGTCCAGTTTATCTTCACTTTGACTGTGGTTGTCATGGTCAGAGGCGTCCAAGTGGTTCTCAAGACAGTTTGACTGCTGATACCCATTAGTGAGGGCTTTTATTTCTTCACTCTGAATGTCCTGATCTGAATTTAAACCTTCTCTTCTGGTTTCTGACCCAGAGTTTGCATCTATATCCTTCTTTGTGTTTAGGCCTGTCAGACTTCCTGTCAAAATGTGTTCTTTTACTGCACACAAGTTAGTTCCATTAAATACGTTGTGGTCATGTGACTCAGGAGTGAAATACTCTGATTGGTTCATGAGATTGGAGTGAAGGGGAGTGTTAACCCGTGAGGGAGAGGAGCTGAAACACGCTTCATCGGAGAGGGAGGAGCGAGGAGACGACGGCATCGTCTGATAGGATGTTGGGGGACATTGTGTGAGGTCTAAGCTTGAGTCAGTATCTGTGGTTGGGGTGTCGGATAAAGTGCGAGACAACAGGCGGGACTTGAGAGGTTGGCAGGGAGGTTGATTGCAGTGAGACCTAAGAATGAGAGTACATATAAAAATCAATCGATATGTATTATGTAATTACACAACTGTCCAAAAGTTTGGGGTCAGTAAGATTTTAAATAAATTATAACTTTTATTCAGCAAGGATGCATCAAATTGATCAAAAGTGTGAGTGAAGACGTAATGTTACAAAAGATATCTATCTAAAAAAAAAATTATTGAAGTTCTAAAATGTGAAAAAAAAAGTATCAAGGTTTACACACAAAATAAGCAGCACAACTGTTTTTAATATTGACTTCACATTGATATACAGAAAGTGAGCAAAGAACATTCCCCACTACTGAAGCGCTCCACAACTTTAGTCTAGTGGAAGTTATGCACTCTCGCAAAAACTCCCACTGAAGCTGTCTAAATCAGCCAGTGAAAGTGTGGTAACAAATCTGAACGCCTCTGATTGGCCATTGCATTCATAAGCTCAACAGTAACATGTGTTGTTATGTGAGCATTGGTTATAAATAGTCAACGCTGCAAAATAACATGCAAAACAAAATCTGATGCTACGTGAGAAAATCTAAATGTAATGCCGCAAATCAACACTTTTTTATTAATTTTGACTTTAATTGCGACAGCCGTAATAGATTTAGCTTCATTGTGCAGGAATTTTTTTACACCCTTATCCTGAATTTGGAGAGCATTTTTGTTCATTTCTGTGTTTTTTTTTGCCACAAGCCCACAATAATTTCCTACCCTGGTGTATGGAAAATGTATAGAAAATGTAAGAATATAGTTATGAATACTTTTGGGAGTTGTACCTGCATGCTCTATCCACTGGGGGGCGGCGGAGCATGTGCAGTTCAGTGGGTGTCAGGAACACCTGAGTGGTGACTGTGAACGAGGGCGGTGAACCCACAGAAGGACTCAGGCCATTGGCCGTCACCCGGTAATCCTTTATTGAGATATAAGGAGAAACACAACGATATAAGATTGTGCATATGCAATATCAGGAATCACTATGAACTTGATTCTACCTGGCTGTAAGTTTGCGTCTCGTACACCATCACCTTCACTGTCAGCGCAGGAGGCATCTGAGTACTCACCACCCTGTACAACACAGACAAGTCACTCTGTTTGTGTGTTTTCACACTTGATTGCTCTGTTGGTGCGGTTCATAGTTTAAGTGTGAACACTGTTATCCGAAATAGGGGTATCACAATTTACCGGTAGACTGGTAGAGAGTTTGGACTATCGTCTCTATCGTGGTTGCACTCACGTGACGTTGCTGTCACGAAAGCTTATCATTTGCATGCTTGTTTTTAAAAACAAGTGATTTCAAACCATTGAAGCGCAACAAGCAGCTAAAAAAAAACTAATTTCCTTAAATGTGCGCATTTCTGAACTCTGTCTGAGAGACGCGCGCACGTGAGTGTGTTTGAACTGAACTGAGTTCTTTTTGCTTCCAAATTGGGCTTGAACAGTTAAATACACACACTTGTGTGTCAAAATGCACGTCTTTGCAAGTATCCTCTTAAACAGTCATTTATGCATGTGTAACAGTATATTGAATCCGTGCATTCGGTCTTAAAGTGACAGCAGCCTAATATATGTACTTCCTGCTGCTGTCAGTGTCATTAATGTTAATCAGAAAACAAAAGAGAAAATCTCTCACTGCTCTTGACTGGATCACTTGTTTAAATTTAATAAGAATAAATGCATATTTAATTTACACAGTGAAGACTATTGCAGTGATTTTTTATACTTTTTATTCAGGGCTCTCAAGTTTTAAAGACAGACAAGAGTGACACTATTGCTTGTAATTAGTTTCTTTATTCTTATTTTATCACTGACTGTTTACTTGTCTTCAGAAAAGCTTAAGTTTTTTGTGACATTGAAATTTCAATGGTATCAAATTTTGATTTCATAAAAAGCTTATTTAAAGCAAAAATATATATATTGTGATATATATAATTGATTATCGTGATAATATAATGTGATATACTATATTGTGATAATATAATGTGAATTACTATATTGTAATATGTGCTCACATATATACTATATGTGAGCACAATATTGGTGCGCACTACTATATTGTGCGCACCAAGCAAGCGGAGCGAGACCCACATTTTCAGGGGGCCTTAATCTGCTTCTAAATAAACTGTGGTGCGGTTTGACTGAAATATGAACACAACACGGACCAAAGACATCTAAACGAATCAAAAACAGGACATAATGTGACAAGATGTAACCCTAAAAAGGGCAGAATGCTCAAGCATATCTGGTTCTTCTCATTATAGGAGTTATGTTACCCATTGCAGTTTAGTGCAGACATCGGAACCGTCGTCTCCTTGCAGCAGATCTTTGTGTGCAACAGAGGAACTTCTGCCACTGTTTTGACTACACACTTTATAAGCTCTTTGAGAGTTCTCAGCTGGTAAAAATACCATCATATGTACGCACATGCAACATGTGGGTTTATTCCAGCACACATGGTTATGCATGGTTTTGGATGTTCGGTTAGTTTTGTCGCAATATACAGGTATACATAAAAGCTGTTTTTTGTTTTGTATAATTAGGTTCGGTGTTAAAAATGAGCGAACTGAACTACAAGTGTGAACATACCCTTAAATGCTTTAGCCAGTTACAGACGCAAAGATCAATATTTATAATAAACATGGATTATAGTAAACAAAATCTGTTCAGCGGTGAAAGCTCACCTGCCCCTGTAGAGGATACAACCAGCCAGCACCAGAGGACATCGCTGACAAGCCTGTAGAATGAGGGCAGCCTTCAGCAACAGCAGAGGATCAATCTGATGCAGGGGTGACGAGAAGTGACCAGTTAGGGTATATAGACCGAGAACATTTTTTCACAATGAACATAACTATATAAAGCCAGGTGCTTCACATATGAGGGTATTTGTGTCCAGAAAAATTAAGACTACTTAGTTGCACAACTATTTCCATGTTCTACTTTTTACGGCTCATGCATTTCCGGTAACAGCATTCAACGCACCTACAGTACATACAGACAGTTACTCACAAGAACGCAGATTATTACTACTTTTTAGTGCTGTCAGATGATTAAAACACTGAATCAAGTTCTTTGCACTAACAAATTATTAAAAAAATGTAACCTACTGAGCTGTTTCTGTAAATATTTGTACATTTTTATTAATTGGCCTTTTTCAGGCCTATTTTCTTTTATTTTTATCGCTTTTATTGATATATTACTTACCGTATAATTGTATTTGTACAGCACTTTAGTCAACGAAGGGCGAAATAATTTAATGTAGAGTTTAATGTATCTCATGATTATGTATCTCCACATTTACTTGTGAATTTGAAGATACTTATTTTATAGCTTTGATTGATTTTAATGTGCAATATTGGCTGCTCCTGAAATGGGTCAAGAATTTGCATTTATTGCATGCCACGGACGGATCAAGAACATAACATAAGCTAAGTGTCTAAAATTAAAAAGTTTGCCCTTTTGGTACTTGGTGTTGAACTGAATGGAGGAAGCAAACCGTCTGCTTAAACAAATAAATATAGTCATTACGAATAATGCACAGAGGTTTCAGTCGCCAGTGAAGAAACCATGATGAGCCAAAGAAAGAGAACAAAGAGGGCTGTTTTTTACTATTCACTGAAGAAAAGTTTGTTTAGGATCAGTTGGGAAAGTGCATGATATTTTAGGGAAGCAAGATTGCTTTACAACACAGTGACTAGTTTAGAGCACTGATACCCAGCGGTGAAATAATCTTGTGTGTTTACCAGCCACTGCTTTCTCAGATCTGCTGGAGTTGGATTAAAACTTCATGTTTCATTGAGGAAATGCAATGCAATGATCCGAATATCTCTTCTTCAGTCTCTGAAAATGTTCAGATTTTTTCAATCTTTCTGCGGACACTTATTTTAAGTGGCGTTCAGTAAACTAGGCGACTACAGCACATTAAAAACATAAATACCTGGAAACTACAAGCTCAGTGCAACTATTCCATTCCCAGAGCGCTTAATTCCCAGCTTGCTGTTGCAGTACTGACTGAATGAATCATGTTCAACTTTAAATGTTTTGTGGCACACTGTTAACATAATGAGAAGAGCAGGTTCTTACGTGTGTGGAGTCAATCGTCCTCAGGCAGCTGAAGATGTTGTGCAGCTCAGTGGAGCCGCCCTGCAGGTGACAGAGATATCTTGCCCATCGTAGAGCCAACTCCTCCTGACTGTACAACTGCCAGGCAAAACACAACACATGTGGAATTATGCTTTAATATGTATTAATTAGGGCTGTCAAATGATTAATCGTGATTAATCACATCCAAAATAAAAGTTTTTGTTTACATAATATATGTGGGTGTACTGTGTATAATTATTTTATATATATACATACACACATGCTTGTATATATTTAAGAAATATTTTCATGTATATACTGTATATAGATTTATATATAATTTATATTATATATAAATATTTTATATATAAAAAATTTTTTTTCTTAAATATACATGCATGTGTGTGTATTTATATATATACAAAATAATTATACACAGTACACCCACATATATTACCATATGTAAACACAAACTTTTATTTTGGATGTGATTAATCGTGATTAATCATTTGACAGCCCTAGTATTAATTTATGACAAAAAAAATATGTGCAGTACGTTCAAAAGTTGGTAAGATTTTTTTAAATGTCTTTTTGCTCACCAAGGCTGTGTTGTTTGATCAAATATACAGGAAAAACTGTCAGTGTTACAATTTAGAATAACTGTTCTTCTATTCTATTATATTTTAGAATGTAATTTATTCCTGTGATAAAAAGCTGAGTCTTCAGTTCAGTGTCACATGATCCTTCAGCAATCATTGTAATATTCTGATTTGCTGCTAAAGAAACATTATTATGAGAAGAGAACAGCTGTGCTGCTTAATATGGAAACCATGATTCAGTTTTTTTTTAGGATTACTTGATGAATAGAAAGTTTAAAAGAACAGCATTTATTCGAAATAGAAATATTTACCGTCACATTTGGTAATTTTAATGCATCCTTGCTGATTAAAGGTATTAATGACCCCAAGGTATATGTTAAACAAATATATACATTTTAAAGAGGTCATTTGATGCTTTTTTAATGTTTACCTTTTCCTTTAGTGTGTAATGTATCTGTGTGTGCATGTATAAGATCTATTACAAAGCTCATAGTCTCCCATGAAGGGATTATCTATCAGAGAACACTGTTTCAGACCTGCCTAAAACGCCTCGATCGAAGTCCAGATATTACGATACGCACTTGAGGTTTTTAGCCAATCACAAAGCACTGAGTCAGCTGGCCAATCAGAGCATTCTGGGCTTTTTGGAAGGAGGGGCTTTATAGAAACTGGAACTCAATCTGAGCGTTTCAGACAGACTGGGAATAGAGGTGCTGCAATAATGTAGAGTATGTGAAAAAGAATGCGTTTCTTTAACATTAAAGCATGTTAATCTTTTCTAGTACACCAACTAAAAAAAGACCATTTAAAAAAAAAACATCCTATGTCCTCTTTAAATCATAATCCGTGAAGAGAATACTGTAGGCCGTGAGGATGCACCTGGTAGCTTTGACGCACTGGTCCATTGTAGAAACAGAAGAGGGCAATCAGCTGATCTAGGAAGTCACACACGCTCACATCAGGAATGTCTACCACACAGCTTAATGCCTGGAAACCAGAGAAAGATCCCATTCAAAAGAGTTGTAAAACCACAATAAAAAAAACAACAACACAAAAGTCAGTCAAACCAAGACTCTGTTCGAAAACCAGTTAGGAAGTATTACGTCATTACACAAAGCTACAATTTTCTCTTACCCAAATAAAGTTATCCTTCATGCGGACTGCATACTTGCTTTTGCGCAGGCGGAGCAGACGTACGGGAGATGAGGACAGTTCAGACACACAACGACACACACCGGCCAGCTGTCCACAAAGCAGCTCTTGTTGGTCTGTTGGTGTCTGTAACAGCACACATACTGTCATGCATTCAATGCCTCGATAGCAGAAAGTATTATGAAGGTTGTCTTCTAAAACAGACACAAATTAAGTACTTGCAAATATATTATATACTCGATTACATGTTTTTCTCACAATGGCAGTAAATTATTCATTATTCATTGTATCTCCCAACAATTTCTTTTTTTTATCTGTTACATTTTCACTTCTAAAAAAGCCTACTGCTTATGTACGTTCAGAAGGACCTCCAGGTTTGTGCAATTTCACACACAAACCAGCCACTATATGTGCCTATCACTGAAAACTGAGACCAACACAACATTTGATCACTGGATTTACATAAAACATTTCACTTTTACGAAGAGTTTTCTCAACATTGCACATCAATTCATGACGAACACAATAATTATTTGAATTATTACTCAGTAAGTCATTTAACCATATTTAACTATCTCTGAAAGGCTTTTGTCTTTCAAACACACTAAAATGAACAAACTCGCATTATTTCAAATTGACATGCAATGCAGGGATTCCCAAACTTTTTTTGTCACCTGAACCTCTTTGACCTAATATATTTACTTGAAGGCCCTGAGATAATAAAATTTAGACAATAATAATAATAATAAATAATAATAAAATTAAGTTAATGGTTCTCTGATGTCATTTAATGTTCACATGACATACAGGTAAACAAATAAAATATATATTTTATATTTTTTAGTAGGTGTTTTATTTTGATTGTTTTTATTTTTAAAAAAAAGAAGAATTTTACATGTTTATGATTTAATTACTTTTCATTAAACTCACAAACCGCAGTCTTGGAAACCCTGACGTAATATTTAATGCTCTTCGTGTTGTTGATAAAGAAATGTAATATTTTTTCTTTCTCTTTGAATTCTTATATCAATATGGTACAAGATTATTCTATTCAAATCAATGAGATAAACAAGTTAGGTTAAAAGTAATCTAAAAGTAATCCACAAGTAGTCAGATTACCTTAAAAGTGTAATGTAATGGATTATGTTACAAACTACAATATTTGTCATGTAATTTAGAATCAATAACCGACTACAATTTATGGCTTACATCCTCAGGATAGAAGTAGTATATCCCATCTCTAGTCAGGTCACCCTCCTCTTGGACCTTTGAACTATCATACAGGAAGAAGAAACCGCATCTAGAAATATAACCAAACATGCATGGTAAAGTTAGCCTAAACTTCTTACCTTCCAGTATTACTGACAAAACTTCAAGAAATTGATGCCGAACTGTTTTCCATTCATGTAAAGGATGATAATATCCCCAAGCACGTATAATACACTGGACAATGAACTTTCTGTTCTCCATGACTTCATTGATGGGTCAGATTGTAAGGAATGCATTTCTAATGAAAGGTTAAGTAGCTGTGTTTAATATACGGACACAAAATATCACTTTGTTTAAAGAAAGCCTGTAACAAAAAAAATTACACAATAATAAACAATGTTAGGAAAAGTTATTATATTAATTATGTTACTTTGTATGGAAAGTAATGCATTATGTTACTTTTGCATTACTTTTTCTTTCCTGGCTATGGTTTACTCTCTTTCAGCCAGGCCTTGCAGGTATTTTGTTTTACAGAAAAATTTTTTTTGTTGTTGCAAGTGTTTAACGCAGCAATGGATTCAACAACATACCCTATATAACACCAAACACCTTCATTTTTCTTTTAAATATATATATTCTGATCATTTAGAATATTTCCTGACTAAGAGCTATACAGTATATGCCACACCAAATAACATAACTAACAAACTAAAAAAATATATCTCTTAACATTACAGGTTATATTACCAACTGTACAACTCTCTTTATTGAACGCTGAAGGTTTGTTACTTTTGTACTTTTTGTCTGTTCCCACACAAATGAGTGCGCATGTCTACGTTATAAAGAAGAGAGATGGATTTTAATTCAGTAGTTTAAAAAAATGTTTAAGCAATTAAATTAAACTGAAAAGTAACATGGATTATTTTTTTAAATAAAGTAGCTCAAATATTAATGCGTAAATTTAAAGAAATGTGTTACTTGTTACATCAAAAAGTAATCTGATTACATAATGCATCGTGCATTACTTTTTATCCCCAACACTGCTCATAAACGGAATATTATTCTCACCGTCTGGAGTCAGTCAAAGCAGCTGTCTCAGCCATTGGTGATCTGTTGAGAGAGCAGCCATCTGGTTAACTTACCTACATCACAAACTATGATTAACTGTGTTTGTAAGGGAGAATCTATCAATGGGGAAAGTAATATGCATGGAAAAACTTAAGCATGGCATAAACTTCGATTGGTCTGAGACCACATGAAAAATATGGGACATTTTTCATTTAAACTTGGTAATAAAAATGTAGGATTTAATCATTAAAATACAAATAAATCGAACATCATGATGTGACCATCTATTAATTTGGAGGAATTGTACTACTACTTGAGTACTAGTAGCTACTAAATGCATCCACTTTAAAATGTTCTTCAACTTTACATTTTCAATGCAAACATTAGTTTGTTACTCCTTACAATTCCGTTTAGATCTCCAAAGTACAAGGTATACTTTTACAGGTCATTGAAACAAGGTGTTTACTTTAAAGGGATCGTTCACCGAAAAATCAAAATTCTGTCATAATTTACTCACCCTCATGTTGTTCCAAACTTGCATAGATTTCTTTCCTCTGCTAAACACAAAAGAAGATATATTCTTTTGAAGAATATGGGCAACCAAACAGGCCCAAGGCCCCATTGACATCCATAGTATGGAAAAAAATACTCCATTATCAACTGTTTGGATACCGACAACCTTTAAATAACTTCTTTTGTGTTTAGCATAAGTAAGAAATTCAAACAGGTTGGGAACAACTTAGGGTGAGTAAATGATGAAGAGATGAGAAGTTTCATTTTTGGGTGAACTATCCCTTTAATTAGACAGCTTTCACTTTAACCTAGGCTGATTACTCCTAATGCCTTACAATGTTTGCGTCATGTAGAAAATACTTTTTTACTTTAATATTGGCTGTAAATATACAGTAAAATAACGCATTTATTGCTGTGTCAAAAGTAACAAAAATATATTGGAATATTTAAAGTAAACCTTTAAATACTTCTGTACAATTAAACGCGGAAACTTTTTACTTGCACAATTAAGTATTTATTTTTTCGAGTTAATTTTTTTATTGAGTAAATTATTTGGATCATTCTCAAATCATGCTGGAGAATGATCATAAGGTTTTGCAGTAGTGGTGTTCAGTGCTGCTGATAACCCGTTTTAATGGGAAAATGCATTTTAAAAGTTGATGGGCATTTTAGTCATTTTTATTATGTACGTAGCATGTGCTGACTGAACACGCAAATGAGACGACAAACAAATCGGTCCTCAATGTTCATTGTACAAACAAGACGAACTGATAGAAACAGTAGATTGACTCACCATCGGCGGGTTGAATGAAGTGCTGATAATCTTCACTCATGTCAATAAACTTCAGCTGCGTTAATGAATCCCACTTAATGACTCATTTCCGCTTAGAAAATACGGGAAAAACCTCACGACAAAACAAACATCAGTAAAACATTCCGTATAAATAGGAAATACGATCTCATGTTTCATGAATCCATTATATTTCGAATTTGGGTAGGAATGTGTGTCACAAGAGTCAAGTCATGTGAGTGTCTTGACAGTACGGCGGGCCTGGAGGGACAAACTTTCTCCACTTACGCGTTTTCTGGGGGAGGCATCATATACACATTTTATAGACTTTATTTATATATATTTTAAAGTCAAATGTTCTGTAAATACACCATAAACAACCTTTTAAAAACATGTTGCTTTAACCGTTTCCTAAACTCCCCGGTTTCACAGACTAAAATGCATGTTTGGGCTGTTTTAACTGAATAGATCTTATATCTTAAATGTCAGTCACTGTTTGGACTCTCAAAATGCATATCAGTAATGTTTTCCTCCTACAGCATGTTAATAAAAGCTACTGAAATGTCCTAATTAAATGGCTAAGGTCTAATCATGGCTTAATCTAATGGCGCTTTTCCACTGCATGGAACGGTACGGCTCGCTTTAAATGGTACCACCTTTGTCGAGGTTCCAAGCGTACCGTACCGATACTAAAATGTGACGTGAACACACTGCAGATCACTGATTGGTCAGACAGAATCGTCATTGTATTTGCGAGACATCAAACCCGCTAGATTTAAATAGCCAGTAACAGCCACCGCTGTAGCACCTGTTTTAAAACTACTTGCTTGAAGAAAAAAGAAAGAAAGAAAACTTCCAAAAAAAGAAATGGCTGAATCGTGGTCAGTGGACGAAGTGCAGACGTTCCTCTCGTTGGTTGCCGAGGAGCGGATAAACTATAACGGTCAGACTATAATCCCACCCACTTTGAAGCGGTACTAACTGCAGTGAAAAAAAGCAAACCGAGCTAAAGCGAACCGAGCCGTGCCGAGTCGTACCACGCAGTGAAAAAGCGAAGCGAGCCGAACCGTACTGAGCCGTACCAGCACTGGAAAAGCGCCATAAGCCCTGTCTGTGAAACCAGCCCTACATTTAGCATTTACATACAAGTAAAACATCCTAGGATCTAAAAACTTCAACCACTTCCTTCAAAAATTAAACTTCAGACATTTTATCATTTAATTAATAGATTTTTATTTTTCAGTTTAAGCTGACAAAGTGATGCAATGGTCAATTGAGTAAATGTAACTGTTTCAATACGGTACTTCCACTAGGTGTGGAAAGCACAGAGGTAAGATCAACAAACTGGAAAGACGTCATGTAAACTGAAAGAAACTGAGGAGTGGTCCAGGCCTGGGCAGATGTCCAGGGATGAGAGAGGGGATAGAGAGGGCCCTCTGGTCCCTGTAGGAGAGTTCTGGGAGAGCTTCTAACACCCTTCACTCATCATGATGCTCGTAGCCGTCAGGGAGGGCGTTGAGGTGGGGGTTGTGAAATAGCGACTTGTTGCCGTCACCCCATGGGAAACGCTAATGCAAATGAGAAAAGAGAGGCATAGATGTGAAGTGTATTGCTTGAATAACAAAATTATCAAATTTATTAATAATTACACAAATATGTTCACAAAAGTCACCATGTGGCATTTTTCATTTAGTCAAATGTTTTAGTAAAAATATATGTTGGTAAATGATTTTTTTTATTAGTAAAAATAGCACGTGATTAGCCTTTCCCGTTCTATGACTATAGTATACAACACATTTATTTTGTCATTTAAATTGTAAATATAAAAAGAAAGTGCATTACTATTGCATGATTAGTTATTAATAGGTCGCATTCTCGATTCAAATACCCACGCAATCTTATTCCAAAATGACAGCGATTCGGCTCCGTCTACTAAACCTTTGACAAGAACAATAACAGCGAAACACTGAGATCTGCATAGGCGCTGGCGTTGAACACGAGAGAGTAGAACAGCTTCACAAACAGCCTTTTTTTATCCTTATAAGCCTTTTAACCAATATATATTCATGCAGAAATGTTTTAACCGTGTTACTACATCTCTAACCCTGGTTATAATTGAAGCTCTGTTATATGGAGTAATATAGATGATCAAAGGCTGAAAAGTATAGAGTTATATTTTTAGCTGTTTTATAGTCCTCCTAACAGGAACATATCAGCATTTCTCTTTACTGGTATATGCATTGCATATGGTTATGGTGTGTGATGATTAAGGGGTGGTGATGGCGCAGTGGATAAGACACATGCCTTTGGTGTGAGAGACCCGGGTTTGAATCCACTGTGAGACACCAATGTGTCCCTGAGCAAGACACTTAACCCCGGCGTCAGAGGCGTGCGACCTCTGACATATATAGCAATTGTAAGTCGCTTTGGATAAAAGCGTCACAGCTAAATGAATAAATGTAAATGTAAATCACAGCCTCATTCCTGGAGGCCCTCTAATGTCTCATGCACAGAGCTCCAATGTCAGGATAAACCAGCAACTCACATTTACTAGACAAATCAAATCATGTTTCTTGGCTTTCAAACATGATGCATAGCTTTAGCTGACAAATACCTTTATTTCACGGTTTGCCTGTTCTTGGAGATATTTGCACGACCCATTGATCTTGAATGACATTGATTTTCAAGACCAACAACAGTGTGTTAATGTATAATCAATTAATAACCAGCCAAATTTAAAATAGGGTATTTGCAATACTTTAAAACAAAACTGCCTCAAAAGTGCATGCCCTGCCTCCACTGAACTTCTGCACTCTCTTTTCATATAAATCAGCATGAAAATGCATAAACTCTCAACAAACGCCTATAATGGTGTTTTTTTTTGTGTGTTTTTTTGAGAAAAGTGAGTGTTTTCACCTTGCTGCGGATGCGCAGGTGGCTGTAGGGAACGAACTCCGGCTGGTCATGTTCGTGTTGGGACCTGAGGTACATGTTCAACATGCACACCGCGACTCCGGGCAGAGCCACCACAAACGTCAGGATTTTCCAGGTCTTGGCTACATGAACATATGAGAAATAAGACACATTCTGTTTGACACGTCTTTGACATTAACTTAGCACCATAATAACACATCAACCGGTTGACAGGCTAGTCGTTTAGTTCACTTAACTATGTAGTTATTAAGACGTAATTATCTCATTTTTCGTAAACTCACTATACAAAAGACTAAACTAAATGCTACTCTACCATCTTTGTCAACCACAGAACAAGATTAAACGGCCATTCGTGTCACATTCGCAAGGTCAAAAGGTAGAATTACGGCTGTTCGTAACAGTTGGTGTTTTTTATTACAGCGTCTGAATGAAACTGATTAGAGTTGTAACTGACCTGCTTGTTCGCCGTGAGCTGCTGCAGCCGAAAGCTGACGGCTTTGGGTCAGCGAGGCAGACTTGAGGAGCTTCTGGGATAAACGTCCGATCGCGGCCATTTTCGCGGAGACTGGAACCGACAGGGGCGGAAGAAGAGCATTAATGCCGCTGCTGGTGCTGGAGATTGACGCGCCCGCCATCTAGTGACAGGGATGTCCAACAACGGCTTTCATTCCGAATTTAATTTAATTTAATTTAATTTAATTTAATTTAATTTAATTTAATTTAATTTAATTTAATTTCATTTCATTTCATTTCATTTCATTTCATTTCATTTCATTTAATTTAAACATATTGTACAAACAATATGCCAAGGAAATATAATGAAAAAAGAATCGCAGAAAAATTTAAACATCTGTAGAGTTTTCACTGCTTTTAAGTTTTGACTTTTGGATCTAGTTTCCAAATATAATTTAACATAAATTTTAAATTTTAAAATAATATATATTATGTATATATTATTATACATAATATAGTATTACGACATATTATTTGATGTAATAAAGTAATTCCATTTGACTTTATTACATCAAATAAATTTTTTTATAAAGATTTTTTTATCACCATCAAATGAAAAACTTTTTAGCATTACATCACCTTCTACAAAATTAACAAACATCGTAGCTTTTCTTTGTAGGGAGTTCTTTCCCCCCCAAAAAAATATCCCAAATAAATAATTATAGTCTCAGTGGAAATTTTACAAAAAACACAAATATCTTCCATATTCTCTTTAAAATGCTGTACCGTACAGCATTTTAAAGAGAATATGGAAGATATTTGTGAGTAAACTTTTATATGAAACCTCTTTGACTTGTGATCTTTTTTTACAGAAGGATACATATCGTTATGCCAGTAGGTGGCGACAAGTCTCCACAGCCTGCACTCGAAAGCCATTGGTCAAGTGAAACGACGGGAAGAACCATAGACTGTAAAAAATGGGAAGAACCCCTGACGTAGATTATATAATTATGGCCTTTCAAGGCAGCAAAAATAATAGCGCTAAAATTTCAGATAAGCTTGGATCTTCAGGCTTTGAATCTGTGAGTGAAATAATGCATGTATGAATCGCAAGTATTATGGTTAACATGCAATAATAACATGAGATTCCCATTGGAAACACATTAACGTTAGCCTATGTCATTCTACTGCTTTTATTCTAGTTTAGAGTAGAAAAGGGCATGTGAATAGCTCGTGCACAGTTGTTTTTCTGATTACCACTACGGTATTTATATTTTATAGCTACTTTGTCACGCATCTTTGTCACGCATTTCTGGCAACTGCAATGTTCTTGGCAGAAACCCCAGAGCTGCGGTTTGGCCGGGTGGAAAGGACCAGCCTCTCCGGCGTCATCCGGCCATTCCACAGAATCTTCACTTTCCAAGTTGTGCCATGGAAAACTGTATGTGTTGCAAGGAAACAAGTTGATCAGTAAGTTGAAGTTGTCTTAAATATTATTTACGCTTTGAAGATTCAACAACTGCACTTCATCAGAGTGTTTTTTCTTTTCTTATTGTTTATGTGTTTTTGCGTATACTAACATCTTTTGTATCAAATGTAATGTTGCACGGATTTAATGCGACGTAATTGAACCTCTAGTATTTCAGAGAACGTTGTGAAGTGGCATTTTCTTATATTATCATCAGATAATCACTTGATTTACACTTTTGTCCTTACATTCAGGCTATAGGCTGACCTCAAGGAATGCAGGCTAACAATCTCTCAGATGATGTGGAGGGAAATCCTGACAGGGAGGATCCCTTCTACCAGCAAGGCAAGTAATATAGTATCATTGCAGCTTATTATAGCAGAGACAGTGGTTATGGGTGTTGGCTGCTTTTTTGATACACTGGTTTCAAGTCCAATTCAGGTAGAGGTATCTATGAACTGAAAAAGACATGACATCTGTGCCCATTAGTCTGTCAGGCGTTTATTAATTGCATTGGTATAGCGCGGTAGCGGGACACTTGGCACACTTTTCTATTGCCTTTGTCCCCCATCAAATACCTTAGTAAACATTTGAATACATTTGATAGCTTAAACACTTAAAACTCATCCTGTGGAAACCAAATTTGAGAGTCCAGTTATTTTGTAAAATAAATATTTTGTAAAAGTTTAGCTCAGTTACAGTAAACATAAACTTTTATAACTTTCTCACACTTTTTTTTTTTTTTTAAGTGAATTGCTTTCACTTCTGCAATAATCTGCTGAGTTTAAAGGAATAGTTCACCCAAAATGAAAACGATCCCATAATTTACTCAACCTCAAGCCATCCTAGTTGTATATGACTTTCTTCTTTCAGCCGAACACAATCTGAGTTATATTAAATAATATCCTGGCTCTGTAATGGCATTGAATAGTCCCTGAGTTTTTGAAGCTCCAAAAAGCACATCCATCCATCATAAAAGTAATCCTTACGACTCCAGTGGGTTAATAAATGCCTTCTGAAGCGAAGTGATGGGTTTTTATAAGAAAAATATTAATATTTATAAACTATAATTCCTGGCACTGATGTATGATGTAGGCATAGAATTGATGAACGCGGAAGCGCAGAGGATAAAGCAAAACCAAACAACGGTCACAAGTTAGGAGTCTAAAACTACCGGTTTTATTACGAAAAATGGCGGAGGATTTCGATATAAGATAAGAGGAGCATCGTTCTATGTCATGAGAGGTCACCCTTCCGCCAGAACTCAACTCTCTCGTGAACGCGCGTACGGCCGTTGCCGGAAGCCAGTGATTATAGTTTATAAAGTTTTAAATACGGATATTTTTCTGACAAAAACCCATTGCTTCACTTCAGAAGGCATTTATTAACCCACTGGAGTCATAAGGATTACTTTTATGATGGATGGATGTGCTTTTTGGAGCTTCAAAAACTCGGGACACTATTCAATGCCATTACAAAGCTGGGAAGAGCCAGGGTATTATTTAATGTGACCGGTGACAGGTGACTAAATGACAAGTTCAAGTAAAATATGGTGGTATCTGGAACTGTTTTGCAGGCTTTACATCAGCTCATTTGATATATAGTGCTTGCTTAAGATATCCCCTAATTTAAAGTCTCTTCTAAACTGTTTAATTTTGGCATTTAAAATCTATTTACGGTACTATTTCTTTTTTCCCCCATGCTGTGTTCAGGCAAAGTGGCTTGTGTCATGTTCACGGTTCTCCTCATCCTTTCATTCTTGGTAATAGGAATCGTAACGGGTGTCAACTGTAAGTCAGACTTATAATGATGTCAATTGTCTCTGATGTGTTAATAATGGATGTGTAACTGGCTTGTTTTTAATTTCATTTAACATGCTGAAGTCAAGAAGAATCCACAAGAAGATCAGACCAGAGGTCTTCTTTCTGATGACATTACGGCTATCCCGTTCCAATACAAAGGTGAAAGCAGTAAGAAATGTTTCATTTAAAGATACAACTAAAATATGAAAGGATGTCAGTAAAATCACAAAGCTCTAATAAATTGTATAATTATTGGTAAGCAAGTGTTGTCTATAGTCGTGTGTTTTGTTCTATCAAATACAGGGCGCTGCTCGGATGGTTGGGTTTCCTATAAGAACACCTGTTATTTGTTAGTGAATGTTTATGGGAAGTGGGAAGTATCACAGTCTTTTTGCCGCAACAGTGGGGCGCACTTGATGGTTGTGAACAGCGAGGAGGAGCTGGTAAGGACATGGACACAGACATGTTGGTGTTGGTATTACATTTTTATCCTCATTTACACTACTGTTCAAAAGTTTGGGATCAGTATGATTTATTTATTTTTTAAAGAAATTGCATCGATCATATGTGACAATAAATGTGTTTATAATGCTACAACGAATTTCAGCACTGTTTTCAACATTGATAATAATTAGAAATGTTTCTTGAGCAGCAAATCAGCATATTAGAATGATTTACACATCTATTTACACAAGCATTTACACAAGCATCATGTGACACTGAAGACTGAAGTAATGATGCTGAAAATTCAGCTTTGCGTCACAGGAATAAATAACAATTTAAAATATATTAAAATAGTAAACATTTATTTTAAAGGTACATCTAACTTTTGACGCTTTAGTGGTTAATAAACAAAACTGCATGCGTCCTGCGAAAGAACATTGTAGCTGCTAGCCGGAGATACTTTCTGTTCTATGACGAGTCACACAGGCACTGTAAAATGTATATGATTAATAAGTTATGACAACATATGTTTTCACATCACATTGACATTAAAAAGTTAAGCTATTTTCAACTTTCAAGATTCAGCCAATTTTTTGAGACAAACAGTTTAATGTTATTTATGTTGAAATCACTTAAACTTCCAAGTTGATTGTACTTAAAAATCAATAATTTTTTTTTTTTACAATGTGGGATACACCACAGCGGTTGCCTTCTCGCCTGGTCTAAAATAGTCAGAATATAAACGCTTATTATAGGCGTAACGTAGTGATTCAGAATAAGACAAAAACACACTTTGGAAGATTGAGTCCTGATGTAGGCTACTCGCTTATTTTATACATTTAGCAAATTTTGAACAAAAAAAGTTACATAATGTACCTTTAAAATGTAATACATTTTTTTTAACAATATTACTGCATTTATGATCAAACTTACCAACTTTTGAATGGTAGCGTATTTCTGAAAGCATAGATATTAATCATAGGTGTATAATTAAAGCACATTGCTGTCTCTAGGAGTTCATTTCAAGAACTGTCCAGAAACAGACTGACTACTGGATAGGCCTCAAGAGGGACAAATCGGGCAAATGGTCCTGGGCTAATGGAGACGATTATCATTCACCTCCACAGTAAGAGAGCATTGACTTCCATACTTTTGAAACAAGTGTTTTATGTCATCTGTGAATGCTTTTTAATTTCATTAAACAGCAGCCATACTGTATGACATGCCAACAAGATCATTATGTCATCTTCCGAATTCTTTGTGGTTTGTGTTCTTTTCAGTTTCTGGGATGAAAATCAACCTGCTCATGGTGGCATGGAGTCCTGCGTCCACTTAAAAGAAACTGACACAGTGCGTCGCAAGCTGTTGCATGATGCTGACTGTTACAGCGAACGCTATTTCATTTGTGAACGCAAACTAGAGAAAGGCATGTGAACTTTGCCCTTATTCCAGCTGCATTAGACTGTTCTCCTAAAATCCTGCCCTGGACACACACCTTCTGATATTGTACATGGTCTCTTTTGTTTTGTAAAACTGTACTTGCCTGACTGGTGCAAATTTGATGTACTTTTGCTATGCATAAGCCACATGTTTTATAGTATTCCAGTGTAAAGTCCAGTTATATGAACACATCCGAATCGGTAACTAATTTTTGGCACAATTTCATCTGAACCTAGATCATTTGATTAAACATACAGTAGGTATTATTATTAATATTATTGCTTTATCTATATTCAACCTTTTAAACCAGTGTTCAAAAGGCTTCCTAGAATATCATTAAATATGATCATCTCACTTCAAAAAAATAGTTAGTTATAATTGTTATTATTTAAATATATTTTTAACGTGTATCTGACAAAGGCACAGGATTAAGGTCTGTTTGTAGAGATTTGATAAGCAATCATAATTCACAGTCAACTGCAGTCAACAGTCAAGCTAACAACACAGGCAAGACAAAGAAAGTCATTAATCATAACTAGGAGTAGAATTGAGATGATGACCTCTGGTGGTGAGCTGGATAAGCTGAATTTTATTTTGTGAAGACGTTACAATGGAAAATCTACTTCAATATATCAAAACGGTTCAGTTGGGTTTAATATACAGATGAAAGTAGGGTTTTTGACTCAATCTTAAAGAATCCTTAATGCCAAAAAGTATTGAAGCTTGTTTCCGCCTCAGAATAAAAAAAGGTAAAAGGTAATTGCAACTTTTTATCTCACAATTCTGAATTTGAACCTCAGTACATTCAGAATTGCGTGATATAAAGTCGCAATTGCGTGTTATAAAGTCAGAATTTGAAATGAGAAATAAATAAATAACTTAATGAGAAATAATTACTCGCAATTGTGAGAAAAAAACTCGCAATTGTCTTTTAAAATGCTTTATTCTGTGGTGGAAACAAGCTTCCATTAAAAAGGTTTTATATAAGAAGAAATGTCTTTAATGATTGCATAATACTTTCATGTTTAATGGGTTATTTCAATTTTTGCAGTGATCAAAAGCTTTTGTAACATCATAAATGTAAAGATACTGTCACTTTTGATCAATGTAATGCATTCTTTCAGAATAAAAGTATTAATTTAATGTTAATAAAACAACAACTTGATGACCCCAATCTTTTGAACGGGAGTGTACGCATCCAGCTATATTCAAAGCATAACATTTATGTCAGAGAAGAACATTTCTTATATGACGACGAGTTAATCAGAGTCGTTGCTTAACTCAATATTTTGTCATATTTCAAACATGCAAATGTTACAAAAAGTCCAACAGGATGTTAGGACTGTCAATTCCGCTCTGGGAAATGGTTTAGGTGTCGTTGCGTAAGGACAGAATGACAGAGAACAGCCACCAGGACACTGACCGCAGCAGAGGAGGGAGATTCGACAGGAACATTCTCTTTAAACAGTAAGATTCACTGCATTTCACAGTTATTGTTTATTCTTTTTTTATTTTGTATGTTCACATAAAGTGTCTTCAATGTATGAACCTTCATGGTAAAATCCTAATTTGTCGGCAATGAGAATGTTTTTACAGTTTTCATGGTCTTTTAAGAATATGCTTGATGGCTTTTCTATTTGGTTTTGTGTATTTTGACTGATAATAAATCTCTGAAATACAGAAGTCCTTTCATTCTGATGTGTTTTTCTCCATGTTTGTGATGGATGAAGCTCAGATATAGTTTGTCAGTCTAGAGGTTAATATTCAACTGCTTCATTGCATGACCTTGAAACTTGTGTGTTTAGTACATTTAGTCTCTTATAATAATACTTATATGTTGGGACAAAAGTCATTAAATAAGAGAAATACATTTCATTTCAATTTGAATTATTTGGTGTAAATACATCCTTCGTCCTGCCTTATTCCTCAGACATGGAATCTATATCATATGACCGGTTTAGCACTCCTGAGGCAGAAATTAATAACACTGGACAGAAATTTATACATGTATCAGGTGAGAAAACCTTTTTTTTTTTCAGTTTTTGAAAGGAATGTTTGTAAATTGTGCTTTGTAGAAAATGTTGACTCAAAATTAAGAACAAATCTATCACGCCACCTTACTAAGAAAGAAAAACATTTCAAGTACCCAGAAAAGGGTGAAATGCCAAATCCTTATTTGCTAAATAAATATATTGACACTCCATGATAACCCAGCTAACAAGAAACTTTCTCGGATCTTTGGCTAACGTTCTGGCAAGGTTCTCTCAAAGTTATGAATAAACATTCATCCAGTAACAATAGAATGTATGTTTAAAGTGGTCTTTAATAACATTAGCTCAAAAACATTATTTATACATCGTTCATGGAACGTTCTTCTAAATCATTTAGTTGGACTTTAGGTTAACTTACTATTTGTTTATGGTTCAGAGAACATTTAAACGTAACGTTCCCATCATATTTGCAAAGTTATAAAAAAACATTTAAAATTGGACGTTTTGAACGTTCTGAGAACATTCAGAAATAACGTTTTCATAACTTAATGGGAACGTTAGCAAAACATTCTCATAACATTTGTTCAGAATGTAGTTTTTTAGTCCATGTTTGTTTCATATTCTTTTGTTATAACTTTAATTCTTTCCTATAGGTAGACAAAACAGAAAGATGTACATAATATATGGCGTCCTCGTCCTCTATGTGTTTATACTGACACTGGCTGTAGGAATTAAAAGTATGTTGTGAGCATTTAACTTCCACACATTAATTTGTTTATGTCAAATTTAACAAAACCTATTGGATGTCACTGCATGTTTTTTTTTTTTTTTTTTACCAAAGTGTTTTGATTTTCATTATGATTTTTAAAAGTCTCTCAGGTCAGCAAAGAGGTAGCTGATGTTAGACTTTCTGTGGAGTCTCTCGATGTCTCCATTAAAAAGGGCCCTGGAGCTCTGCAATTTGGTAAATAAAGAACCATTTTTATGTCTTTATAAAATAAAAAAATGTGTAAAAGTTTATGCATATACTAACAATGCCTGTGAAATTAATTTGTTGTGATTTTTATAATTAATATATTCATTTTTTCCACCCAGAAAATGCTCATTTCTCTGAGCTTTTGATGACTGAGCATGTGATCCCGGTGCAAGGTGAGGCTCCTCATGACAGTGGGGTCCAAAAGTCAGAGACCACTATTGAGAATACTTTGAATCTGTACTTTGCATTTATATAACTGAATAATAATACTACTAATAATATATCACCAGCATAACAATGTGAGTAAAACCTTTAATTGAAAAATGTACATGAATTTCAAAATGCCTTAGTACTTGAGAGCGTGATTACAAAAATGTTGTATGTTGCACTTAGCGATATTTTCCTTTTCGAAGTGATTCCAATCATATTTCAAGCAATTCAAAACCATAATGGTGAACATTGCGCATCTGAAGTGTTTCAACTGAAGGAAATTAACTATTAATAATCGGCTTAAATATATTTTAACGATAATATAAAAAAATGAACAAATATGCCGATATGGTGGCCGATATTTTGTGCATCCCTAGTATTTGGTTTCTCATCAGCTTGAGCTTCAATGGAAGAATATCTTACTCTCTCTAGAAAGAGTCACATGTTCAATGTTACAAATGTACTACTTTCTATTAGATTATGAATCCCAGATTTTCTATGTGGACTCAGACTTTTGGACTTTTTACTCTTTAGCAAAATGCTCTTTACGCCTGCTCTTTACTCTTTAGCAAAATTTTTATTTTGTGCTTGGCAGTGAAACCTGCCTGATTTAAGTTATGATTTATTTGTATTATATGCATGTTTAACTGTACAGGTCCCTGCCAGGAAGACTGGGTGTTTTATAAAGACTCATGCTACTTTCAGTCTTCAGTAAAGAAGAACTGGCAACTTGCTGAGAACAACTGTATCCAGAAAGGATCACACTTAGTTGTTGTCAATGACATGGCTGAGCTTGTAAGACAAGAACACACACAGCCTCACAATTATTTGAGTCTTATGTGAGGTTAAATATGAGTTTGGTCTCTTTTTAAACCAGGACTTCCTGTCTTCGATCGTTAAGACGTCTAACAGCTACTGGATTGGGCTTGTTGAGAAAGAAAAGGAAAAATGGTCCTGGGTAGATGGAACAGACTTTGATGCTACTGAACAGTAAGAATGAATATAAAAATATAGCTGCGAGCAGCGATTGCGCGCCCAAGCCGGTGGCACCGCAACCCCGGGGCCTTTAGTTACCTAAAGGCACCGGAGTGGCGGTGCCGCCGGCTTTGGCCCTTCATCGCTGCTCGCAGCTATATTTATATTACAGTTACAGTTTTTCACCATTGCTATTTTCCGGATTTTTTGGGCGGGTCTAAAACGGGGCTCGATGACGCACTGGAGCCCCTGAGCTCCAGGACACGCCCCTACTTGATGACGCACTGAGGCCACTGAGGCTGGCCCCTCCCCTAACAATAGAGCACATTCGCATAAATGCGTAGGCTACTACCTGGATGCGATCACGTACAAAACAGATCGGTGTCTTTATTTAAATTTCCTAAAAACGATCACATCAAGAAGAGGTGGATTAATTTTGTGAAGAGCCAACCTTGATGGAGAGCTGAGGATCACCGCCAACACCCGCCTCTGTAGCGATCATTTTACACGGGATAGTTTTATAAACTTTCGTCGGAGACAACTGGGATTCACTGATAATCCGCTGTTACTGGTGAATGGGGCCGAACCGACTATCTCCCGCCTCGGCCTTCATCCTCCCGTCCCGAAAGCAGTATCAGCTAATTTCACCGTCGGCAGCTTTCCCACGAGTGGGCGTGGCTTCAGCGGAGCCAGCGGACACACCCCCAGCGTTTGAGAGCAGAGAATAATGCTCATTTTTTCAAGATTTTGATAGCTTACTTTATGTACTTGCCGGCTTTTTTTATCATTCAAATTCGGCTGGGTGGCTAATAACACATTTTTCTGTGGTGTGACAAACTCAGAACACAAACTTTATTTTGACTTTACAGGGACTTTAACAACTACCTTACTATAGCAGTAAGTAGGAGTTCACTGATGCAAAAGTCATAGTTAATAGTTAGTTAATGGTGAGAAATGGACCCTATACTAAAGTGTGACCAATAAATGGAGTTCTTGTCTCCCAAAAGAAAGAACCAATTGAACTGCTTGAAATGAGTCATCAGTAATTCCAGTCTTATGTCCTGTACGAACCTATGTAGGTTTGTAACAATCATGTTCCGCATGTACATACTATGTACTTATTGCAATTACAGGGCAAAAACTAGGTACCAACCCTGAACCTACCCCTAAACCTAACCTTAACCCATATAGTTAAGTAATTATATTACCAGTACTTTCTTGGGTAAGTACATGTACTGCAAAATAAAGTGTAACCATAAATTTGCATAATGCCAGCCTAAGGTCTTCATTGGCTGCCTGTTAACGTCTACTTTGACCCGCCCTTAAACACTGTAGTTGTAGCTGAGGCCTGAAAGAGTTTAGTTTGTGTTGTCGACATGTCCTGCGATGCGAAAGCAAACCCACTTTGCAGGCACTTCTAAAGGAAGGGTACTCGAGCTCGAATTGATATGGTAAAATTGACGCCATCGTGACTGTTCGTATCACTGTGTATACAAGTGCTAAAATTCAGATAAGCTAATGGTGTTTCATTTCCATCACACGCTATAAACGGTAGACCAATCACAACAAACTTGGCCATCTGACCAATCAGAGCAGACTAAGCTCTCGAGAGGGAGGGGTTTAGAGAGACCGAATCCTTTATCAAACCATTTCAGACACTGTGAGTAAAGAGGTGATGCTGCAATGTCTATTATGAGGAAATTAAACTGTTTTTTGACTTTGAATGCATGTAAACCTGTTGTAGGAGACCTCCAAAAACAAAATGAGGAACCTTTAAAATAGCATAATAGTGGCACTTTAATCTAACTCTTGATGTCTATTTCAGCCACTGGGATGAAGGTCAACCAGATGACTGGGATGTTCGTTTGAATGGTGAGGACTGTGGGCAGCTCCACGCTCGGACAACTTTGGAGAGACGGAGGCTGTGGAATGATGCAGACTGTACGCTCTCTTTTCCCTACTTCTGTGAGAGCAAACCCAAGAGCCACTGATAAATAACTAAACTCAAACACAGCAAAATGTCTTAAGAGAACCTTTCTTAAGTTCCTTAAGCAACACTTTTGCCTCTTTTCCAGTAAAAATATATTTTAACATCCTTATTTGAGTGGCAGGATTGTAGATAATAGACTTAAGAGAAGATACATCTTGAATTAAAAGTTGAATTGAAGTTTTCTGTAAAATAGTTTTTATTTTCTTCATTTAACCGCAAACGTTAGACCATTTTGTTAGATTTGTGCTAAAAAAATTTACCAATGGAGTAAGTTTATAATAAACATCACTTGGTAAGATCAATTTTCTATAAACTTATTATTATCTATTATTAAACTATTAATATCTAAGGAAAATGTGCTTCTCAAGTGCACTTAAGGATGTTTAGGTGTTTTTATTTGAAAGACTGAAGACAATTATTTTTCAGTGTATACTACATAATGTAAAATATTATTATTTTTAAAATGAATGCAACCGTCCACTAGTATCCATGCAGGGTTACAACCAAAAAATTTTTTGTTTGTTTTTGGGGTATGTTTTATTTCATTCATTAGAGGTCATATTATGACCTATTTGCAAAAAATAATTTTCTTAATCAGTATTTTTGGCTTTATAAACAAGGAAAATTTACTTGAGAAGCAATTGCATAAGATTATATGACTTATTTTCAGAGAATATATAAGTTTTGTTTTTCATCCCCCATTGGCAAATAGTTTTTAGTTGTTTTAGGCATAAACCTCATACAAAAAGAATAACTTCCAACGGGAAGAAAAATAAATTGAATTCTTATGAACAGATATCCTCTAAAAACAATTCTTAATATATAACACTTCATAACTAACTTGGGTATTTTTACTGGAAAACAAAAACAAAAATATTAAGGAAATGATAGTAAATATTATTAATGGCATTAAATACCATTAAATAATCTCTCTGCTATATGAATCAAATATCAATTAGCATGAACACAAAATAAACAGTTACATGATATACCATTTCTATGTTTAATGAGACTTTAAGGACAGTCTTAAAACTTTATCTAGTGTCAGGTCATTTGCAGTTATTACTTGGATAGTTGACATGATCTTGGTTGTAACCCGCTTGTGCAAAGCATTCGGCGGCTTTTCTGTCACATTCACATATGAACATCTCACAGGGGCGATTCTTGTCAGCTGCAAGAGACAAAACAACAGCAGTCCAGTTCAGTTCCGGTCTCAGTTACTAACAGAGCTTTCAGACAGAATTATTTAGTACAGTTTGTCCTACAGCTAACAGGAAACATTCTTAGAACTCCCCTAACATTCTGGCAAGGCTTTCTCAGAGTTATGAACAAACATTCTTCCAGGAACGATCAAATTTATCTGGTCTTTAATAAAAAAAAACATTATCTACGTTGTTCATGAAACATTTTAGTATCTAACATTTTTAAATGTTACTACTTGTTTCATAATGTTCAGAGAACATTCAAAAGTAACATTTCCATGTTTGTAAAATGGAATTCTAACATTCGCATAACCAAAAACTGGAACGAGAACATCTAGAAATAATGTTTTCATAACATAATGGGAACATTGGCAAAATGTTCTTTTATAACATATTTTTGTTAGCTTGGGACTTACCATTGCAGCTGATTTTCCTTGCCGGTTTGTCGCATGAGAATGAATATATTTCAGTATAGGGGTTGTCTAAGATACCCCAGCAGTCATCCTGCTGCCATGAGTCCGAATAACACTGATCATGCACCTGACAGCACCTAGAGAGCAATAGAGAATGCAGTGCGTATGTTTATAAAGTTAGTCGCCTTTCCTTTTTGATTAATTATTGTATTCTAAGAGATTTGCTTCTTGCCTGCTGTGGGGAAAGAAATGTAACAATACATTACCTAATTAATATTCATGAGCAAAGGTGATAAGTATACCATTCCAAACTTTTTCTGAAAAGCTCCTTTAGAAGGTAATGTTTAAATTGCTTAACTGTAATACATTCTTGTCATCAAATGCTCTCAACAGAATTAGCAATGCACTGATTTTTACTGCCTGCAAAAATAAAATCAACCTGAAATCAAAATGAACAGTTCTTGTTTTTTTATAGAATAGGCTATTGCAGTATTTATTATGAATGACTTATTCGTGCACATTTCGTGAGCTTAGAATTATAAGGTTCTATCTCCGTTTAGGGTAGTTCTGAGATATTGAGCATCAACGTTTTTACATCCCTGCTGTTTTGTGAGATGGAACCTTTTTATTTTATTAATAACTACTAACAAAATTTTTTTTTTTTACAAAAATAACACCACACAGGCATTAATAAACACCTAATGGATAAAATTATGTCAAAAACTCAATTTCGACCAAAAGTGGAGATAGAACCTTATAATTCTAAGCTCACGATTTGTTGTTTTTTATTCATGTGGCTTCATAATCTTTGACTAAAATAACTTCCCCTCCCTCTTGCTGCTCTGATGAAGTGTTTACTTGTAAGGGCGGGACAACCTGTCACTCACACATGACATGACATCACAACAAAAGCAAACCAAAATCATCCAATCAATTCCTGATGGACAAAATCAAGTCCCGCCCTACATTATTACTTGTTCGAGAAGCCGTTTCACTGGGATATGTTGCAAATTAGTGAAGAAAAGATTATCGCAACTTCGGTTTCACGCTGACTTTAATTTGTGCAACGTGTATATTTCGGTATTTAGTTATAAACTGTTCATTAAACCTTTCAGTCTGAGCAGGCCGAAGTGTGACAGACAAAACTGTCTCGGAAACTATTGTTTTAATCTGACCTGTCCAGTTCATCCACCGGGTTGCCCGAGCCTCCTTTGCCGCAGTAACATCCGTAGTCTGCGTAGTCCAGTGCAGGCCAGCTATCGGGGATGGTACAGAGGATCATGGACCTGAACTGCCACAGCGCACGGTAGTCTATTGTCGCCAGCACTGTTAAACAATGATAGTTTATCAGTGCTTCATACCGATTAGCATCAAAATAATATGTAAACAACAGACTGCGTTGCTTAATCATCCATCATTCTACTTTGTCTTTTCACACAAAGCTATCATATGGCTTCAGAAGATGTGGAATATAGCACATAAGTCATATGAACCGTGCATTTTTATGATAGGCCTAGTTCTTTTGCATTATTTTTCGAGCTTGGCAGCCCCAGTTCTCATTCATTGTCATTGAATGGAAAATAAAGGACAGGGTATTTAATATTCCATCTTAAAAGATTTAACTACTTTTTGTGTTCCACAGAAGAAAGAATGTCATACAGGTTATGACATGAGGGAGAGTAAATGTAATTTTTTGGGTAAACTATCCATATGAGGAAATTTTTACCTGATCTGCACCATTCATTCATATAGCCTACAAAGACTTCAGTATTCAATAGAAGCACCATATAGCATAGATTTATCATCATCATCATAAATTTAATAATATCCTTTTTATACCAGGTAGTTCATTATATACTGCCTTGCAAAATATTTATAAAAGGTGTATAGCAATTTTATATGGTTTGTTTCTGCTTCACATCCAGCAATCTGTCTCCTGGTGAACTTGTAGAGGGAGTGTCAGATGGTCAAATGTAACAATCAATTTAACCAATTAGTTTCTTACATTCTTAAGTATTTTAAAATAATTATTTTTAGAAATACATTTCATAACCACTTTCTTGGTGTCTAGACTTGTTTTCTGTCGGTATTACATTCCACCTTAGTGACACCACTCTTTTTATTCACTGTAAAAAAAAAGAGTTGCTTCCTTAATTTTTGAAGGTAAGAGGTGTAATTATTTTGACTGACTATAGTGCAATTATTTGACTGACTAATTACTGTAATTAGTAAATTCTATTTTTCAAATAATTTAAAAATCTATATATATCATATATCTTTATTAAATATTTGCCTTACATAAGAGAAATGATTAAAACAATAAGCTCCTGTACAGTAGTTGAATAGTAAATCACATTTTAAGTATACTCACAGGCGGGCAGACTCACACTAAGGACCACGAGAGACAGAAAGGTGTGCATGGTGAAGACGAAGACCATATGAACGTGTGTGTTGCTGATTATTTATAGAACTTATTATAACCTTGACGGGCGGAGCTCACTGATAAGTCACATGAGATATGTTACAGTTTTTTACAATCATTTTGTTACTATTTTCAGAACCTTGATGTCATTTTTCACAACTCTAGACACAAAACTCACAACCAATGATCAAAATGCACATTTTTCAAAACTAACCCTTTTCTCAATTGCTTGGTTACAATACATATAAAACTTAGATCATTTGTTCATTCAACAAAAATCACCTGTTCAATATGACACAACTTATCATCACAGTACTTCTATTTCTAAAGGCAATTCACACATTACATTTCAAATGAGTGTCTATTCATTTCCTTACAATGATCAACTCTTCAAAATGATAAGTAACTGTTGCATTACTCTTAATGGATATGTATGGAAACACACACACAATGTTTACAGTAAATCATGACAGTTTCAAGATAACGAGATTTATTGTCACCAATTAGCGTGGAGCATGAACCAATTAGACTACAATATCCATGGATGTAGCCTAATATTTAATATTTTTGCTTTGATTCCAATAAACCTATGTTGTGATTGTACTGTAGTGTTTTGCATCAATATTTTACACACTTTGTTCAGTGATTCCACTCTGTGTGTATTCTCTCTACTACAGTGCTTTCACAGAGATGTATTTACTGTACATGTAGACCATAATGAAACCTGGATCACCTATTGTGTTCTACAATATTTAATGATTGTACGAACAATGACACAGTGAAACTATCGGTTGCTTGTGTGTGGGTGATCTATAGTTATGTTTCAATGGTATTTCACAGTAAATTTGTTTTTTGAACCAATGATTGTGCAAGTGCAAGATTTCTTTAAAGATGTGAATGCACAATGCAATGTTTTGAACATTAGACAGCCTGTGTTACAAGTGATAACCGTTTTGAGTTTTGTGTCTAGAGTTTTGAAAAATGACATCAAGGTTCTGAAAATAGTAGCAAAGTGATTGTAAAAAAACTGTAATACAGTATATGCATTCACGCATGCACACAAAAGCACGAACATACAGTTTGTTGTTGAGATCTTTACAGCTTTGTGCAAGTTAATTGTGTTTATTTACACTTGTGTATGTAATGTGTGTGTGTGTGTGTTTGTTTGTTTTTGAGTGTGTGTGTGTGTGTGTGTGTGTTTTGTTCTTTGGGAACATGAGCATGTGTTGGCAATTTGAACAGCTGGTACAAGAATTCCTTTTTTTCTCGAAAAAGTATGAGACTTTCATAAAGCCCTGGAAAAAGTTGCGAAACGCTTGAGTAGCCTTCATGCAAACCAGCTGTCAGCACACAAAAGATTATTTGACCAAATAACAATAATGTTGTCATTGTTATATATGCATGCACATTTCACTGATTGCAGCCTATTTTGTTGCCGTAAAGGATTGTGAGAGTGACCATGAATGCAACAAGAGCAGTGATAAAGCTGCTGATCTGAACTGCAAACACTCGAGGGCAGATGAATATTGGAGGCGTTATAGGGGGATTGAGAGAAACACTCCGCCGCTGCCTTGTCACACTGGCAGACGAACATATCACAGTCGTCATTACTGGCTGAAAGAGAGAAAGAGAGCGGTAACCCTTGTGAAAAAGAAGTGTGCTCAATTGTGCACTTGTAGTTTACAGAAATTCTCATACGTGTTTTATGTACAGATAATACAATAATGAAATAAAAGTTCACTTAAGAGAGTACACTTCAATGAACATGTTTCTTATGCTTAAGTACATTTAAAAAGTGCACTTTGTAATAATGTGAAATGAAAAGTTTACCTTAAAGGGGTCATATAATGGTACATGCACTTTTACAAGTTGATTGTACTGAAATGTGTGTTGGCAGTGCCTGTACACAACCATCATAAAATGATAAAAATCCATCCAGTGTTTTTGTTTTAATCTCCTATGTTTTCCCTGCCTCAAATTGAGCCGTTCGATTTTGTGACGTCACACGCTCGGAAGCCCCTCCCACGATTGTTGATTGACAGCATCGTTTCAACACAGACCCGCCCTTGCTCGTGAGGGAGCTGTCAATCATAGTCCGCACGGACCGGCGCGGTCATTGTTGATATGCTGGAGCACTGTCTATGAGCAGAATGGCGTCTAAGCGATTGTGGTGTTCTGTTCTTGGGTGTAACAACGAACACAGCAGTCATTTTAATGTTCCTAAATCCAAACCGCTGAAGACGCAGTGGCTGAGTTTGTTTTCGAAGGGAATATTCCCCACGAGCAACGTCAATGCTTTCATGTTTGCGCGAATCATTTCTCACCAGACTGCTTTATAAACGAGGGTCAGTATAAAGCTGGTTTTGCTAAGAAGCTGCTCATGAAAAAAGGATCGGTACCAGCTATTCGTGTTCCTGCTGCACCTCTAGAACAACTGAAGTGAGTGTAACGTTTTATTAAACTTTATATTAATATTTATATTAATCTTTGCAAATCGCTAGCTGCACGCTTCACAATGAATGCGTCTAAGGTTTACACTCAGGGTACATTACGGCATGTTTTGTATGATGTTCTCAATATAATTCATAATCCCACGTTTATACTGAACAACGCGTTATGGTTATTGTGTTATTGTGTTACAAACGGTGTATGCACAGAACAGAGGGGCGGGGTGAGCAAAGCTCATTATCATTTAAAGGCATATGCACTGAAACGGCGTGCTGAAAACAGAGCTGTTTTTGACCAGGTAAAATAAGTGTTTTCTTACCATACTAATGAGAATTTTTAATTAAAGTATATTACAAACTTTTAATTTAGACCCTAAAGAATCATACTAGTTTGTACAAAAATGGCATTATATGACCCCTTTAAAGTACATTTTAAATCATTATGTTTTAATGATCTTTTGCTGACTAATATAGGCTACTAAACTAAAGCACATGGAAGTAGCCTACTTGATTAGTTAACTTTAGTGTGTTTTCAATGTTACATTTAAAGTGAATATATTTATTACAATATATAATTTACTATTAACTGCAACTTTATTACAAATGAGTAATTACAAATTTAAATACATGGAAGTTTTAATGGACATGACCTTAAAATACATTTTAGTTTCTGTACATTTGGCTGTACACTTTAACCATGTTTCAAAGACAATAGTTTTAAAATTACATATGCATTAAATCGTACTTAAATGGGTAAAAAAAATAACTCTTAAAGTCAACTCAATGAAAAAAAAAAAAAAGAAAAGTTGCTGCCTTAAATTAAGTCATTTCTACTTAAATTGCATTAAACTGACTTTAAAAAATGAATGTAATCTTTTATAAAGTTACTTATTTTGGATGAGTTAAAGCAATGTAAAAACATATGTTGTTTTGGAATTAAAAAATACTAAATGTTACTTTGAATTAGGCACATTATTGATTTGTGTTTTTTGCCGTGTATTTTTTTGAAGTAAAATAATATATATATATATATATATATATATATATATATATATAGATATTTTTTTTTTCCAGAAATATGATATTGTTCAGAAATATGATTTTGTTGAATTGTATATAAATATCCATTTTTTCTTCTCTCTCCTACACCAGTATTATATTGGGTTTGAGTTAACTTTATATTGTGTGAGACATGTTCTCTACGTATTCTTTGAACTTTCTCTCTTCAGGTTGCCTTGCACAGCGCGGCCAGGTGATTGTTCTATGACTAATTAACTGCTGCTCAAAATGAACTTGAGATTGTCGACGAAGGCTTGTAAGCCGCAACACTTTGGTGTGTACTTCTCACCAGTTTTAAAATGATAAAACCATGATGAAGTAAAGGCTTTTTAACTTTTTCAACATTATTCGAGTGCCTTGGAACACAGTTTCATATTTATCTATTGTTTACAATCAGTTAATGCTATCACACAACCTCAGCCTTATATTTTAGTAAGGTTATAAATGTAAATGTACACAACAGTTATAGTTCTGGGACTTTCCACTGTTTGTATCATCATCTGTTTGTCTGTGTTTGTTCCAGAGAGACTGATAGTCTATGTATTAGAGGTGCAGTTATAGGCCAGTAAAGGTGTACTATCATAATGGCAGAGGTAAAAACATGTTCTGTTAAAACAAGAAATGATAAGAATGTAAATGTGTACCTTGAAATGCAATGTAAGTGTTGTGATGAGGCGGAGTCAGGAGGATCCATTTGCAGCATTTATTAGAATAATCAAAACAGGCAGGGTCCAACAGTGGCAAACAGAACAGAGAAGGCAAGGCTGAGACAAACCAGGTAAACAGGCAAAGGGTCGAGGCAGGCAGAGAAGAATCAGAGTCCAGTAAACAGTCCGGGGTCAGGGCAGGCAGAGAAGGGTCAGCAACGATAAACAATCCAAGATCAAACACAGGAATCAAAACTCGGGAAATAATGCTCAGAAATGATGGCCGGGGCAGATCAAGACTTCGCACTGAATGAGTGTGTGAATGAGGCTTATATGAGTGTGTGTGAATGAGGTGCAGGTGTGAGTGCAATCAGTCCCAGGTATGAGGCATGATGGGAATTGGAGTTCGATGGGTAAAGTTAATATTCCGGAGACGGTTCCCTCCTGTGGTGAAGAGGAGGTGGTGCGGGAGCCTGCTCCGTTACAGAGCCCCCCCCCCCCTGCGAGCGGCTCCTGAAGCGAGGAGGCAAATGACGCCGGGGTCTCCCACGGGGTCGAGGGGCCGGTTTTTCCGGGTGCATCCGATGAAACTCCTCCGTGAGTGTGGGGTCTAGGATGTCTCCGGAGTTGACCCAGGATCGCTCCTCCGGACCGAACCCCTCCCAGTCAACCAGATACTGGAGGACGTTACCCCGGCGCCTGGAGTCGAGCAACTCGTGCACACGATAAGCCTCCTCGCCGTCGACCAGGATGGATGGGGGGTTTGGGCCTGTGACTCCCTCCTCCGACTCTCCTCTCAGACCACCGGCAGGTTTCAGGAGTGATACATGGAATGTAGGAGAAATACGGTAATTAGCGGGCAG